CCCCGGCTGCCATATACTTGGCCCTCACTAGCCGCCGTGTCTGGCTGGCTGGCTGGGCCCTTAGTCGCGATTATTTGGGCCCCAACGCCCCCCACAAACACAACACACCGATGAGGGGAGGGATATGTTTATGTTGGCTATGTCTGGCTGGCTGTCTCTCTCTCGCTCTCTCTCTCACTCGCTATGGCTGCCCAAATATGGCCCCATCTCCTGAATAGACATGGCTTTTGACGGGATTTGCCAGCTGTTCTGGCGCCGAGGCTCTGTTTTTGCCTTTAATGGGCCTTTATTGCTGTTCCAAAAAGGTCTCTGCTAGCTTGCCCTCATCTAAAATTCCGCGGGTGCACAAACACATCGTTCGGATTCTCGAACCGTCTCTGTTAGCTTGCCCCTTCTAGAAATTTGTTGAGTTTAGTAGGGACTAAATTCAAGAGAGAGAGGGAGAAGGAGAGAGAGGAGAGAGAGAGAGAGAGAGAGAGAGAGAGAGAGGCAATAGATAGCGGCAGTGAGAGTGAGCACAAGCATGAGCAAGAGAGATAAGAGAGTGAGAGAGGCTTAATGATAGAGCTCGGGCAAATTCGTAGTTTATCCATTCCATTTCCATCCCCCCTCCGCACTCTGAGGATCGATGCCTTCCGGCCAGGGGGGGGGTGAAGCTTTGGTCTCTGGTTGCCCTCTTCTTCTTTTTCGTTTGGTCCAAATGATTTGTCTGCCCCTCCATCGTTTCCATTTTCCCAAAAGGATTATCCATCCAGCCCTCCCACTCTCCATTTCCCTTCTTGCTCTATTTTTGTCGCATTTCCGAGTGTCTTTTTAATAAAACGCACTTTGTGGCCGGGAAATTGGGGGTTTGCTTGCACTTTTTGAGGTCGGAAGCGGGCTGAAAAGTGCAGCGGAAGTGGAATTTTGGTATTTTTCAGGATTCCGAGTTTTTTCTGAGCGAATACATGGCGTAATCGGTTTTTGGAACGCGGGTTGTGCAGGAAAAATAGTCACTTGCTTGAAAATTGGCTCCAAAATGCCAAGTCGAGGCTTAGACTTAGGCTTAGGTTCAGTCTTAGGCTTAGGCTTAGGCTTAGGCTTAAGCTTTGCTTAGGCTTCTCCTCTGCCTTACCACCCGTAATCGTTTTTTGGAGCGTTGCGTAGCCGCAAAAAAAATAGATCTTTACCCGCTATTCTTAGCGCCGACTCAAGAAAAACATCTTTTCCATCTTTCGCCCCTAGGAGGGAATAGATAGGAAAAGGAGGCTATTTTCCTCCCCTCCGCGCCACTCTGCCCCTTTTTTGGGCATGCCGAGACACGCTTTTGGAAAATGGGGGGAATCGTTGGACGCCGGCGAGTCTCGGAGAGGAGGTCGTTTCTTTTTCGTTTCTCTCTCTCTCTCCCTCCCTCTCCTCCGGCTCGACAGCTGATCGAATGGGTCTCCTCGGCCTGGCCGGGCTGCCCCCTGGGTCGATGTTAAATAAAACTTTTTCCACCGCCCGGGCTCAGGTTCGGCCGGTCTGGTGGTTTGATCCCATCGCTATTGACCGGAGAGTGCTTCTAAAGGCCCCGGCAAGCCAAAATGAGCTCTTTTTCCTGGAGCTCCAGCTCCTCAATCGATGAAAAATTGACCATTTTCAGCGCCCAATTAAATTCCTGGAGCCCTGTCAATTTTCGGGCTTTATTTTTGGATTGGCAGCCGACCGCGGTGCTGATTCCGTTCGACACCAGATTACGGACTGATTACGGCCCGGAAAAGGAGTGGTCAGCACCGTACTGGGGTGTGGAACGGATTTTTTGTGCTTTCGAGAATACTGGATTGAAAATTCGGGAAAAATCAACCTAATTTTTAGAATTTTTTGGGTTTTCCAATCCGATTACGACATATAATTCGAGCGATTTCATATTTCTTATTTCTTCGAACCGATTACGCCATATAATTAATAACCAGAAATTTTTTACATTTTCCGAAGCGAGTACGACCTGTAAGTAGTTACTTAATGTACTCAATAACTTGAATTTCTAATTTTTAAGTAATTGATGTAGCATTTTCGTCTATGTAGAACCGATTACGCTATGTAATTCTTGATGAACATTGCATAAGCACTCGGCTGTCTGCCAGAAAACTCAATTTTGGAGCAAGCCATAAAATCCTTTGCCCTTCCCGCGTGCCCCGGCTAGCAAGTTCAGCTGGTTTCCGCGCTACGCGCTGCCAGGCTGGCTGGGTGCCAGCAACCATGCCATGCCCCCCCTAGATCTTCTGTGTGTTCCACAGGCTTCAGCCGAGGTGGGCAACCAGTTTCTTCGGCTTGTCCTTCTGCTTCATCTCGTTCTCTTCACTCTCTCTGTCTCTCTCTCTTTCTCTCTCTCTCTCTCTCTCTCTCTCTTCCATTCCATCCTGCCATGCCAATCGGGGCGGCCGGGCCGGGGGTGAACGTTTATCTGATCATACCCCCTTCCTTTTCCGTGCTTTCACTTGAAGCTTTTCCCTTTGTGGGGATGGCGATTCTGAAGTTAGATTTTTCTAGAGGCTAGAGGTCGGTTAAAACCAATGGTCTCTGCTAGCTCACCTCCCGGCTAAGTTTTTTTACCTCCTTAAGGGGCGAGACATCCGTTTTTCCTCAAGTATCTTTGCAAGCGTCTTCTTCTGCAGGCTTTTTAGCTTTGAGATGGCCTTGTTCCTGAGGAATTACTGCTAGCTTGCCTTCGTCAAGCTCTTATAGCCCTAGAAAGTTATCTTGACAATCGCTTTTCCCTAATAATCTTTGCTAGCTTGCCTCTTTCTAGTTGTCGTCTAGTTAACGGATCTTCGCAGCCATTTTTCCTCAAGAATCCACAGCCTCTTTTCCACAAAAATCGCTGCTGGCTTTCCTCCTTCCTGGGTTTCCCTTCTGAGGGAATTTTTTACTTTTCCAAAACTACGATTTTTTTCCAATTTCTCAAGAATCCCTGCTAGCCTGCTTCGTTTGTATTTTCCTGGGTGTATATTTCCGGGTTAGGCTCATGTTTGGGGCTGGATTCTTTGCTCTTTTCTGCTAGCTTGGCTCTCTCTCTCGCTCTCTCTCGCCATCCATATGTATGTGTGTATTTTGGGTGGGTGCAGCGCACAGCTTGCGCTCCGCTTCACCCCTTCGTCTTTTTGTCTGTCTGTCTGTCTGTGTGTTTGGCTGTCTGTCTGCCCTTTTCTCCCTGCTCTTTCAAAGCGAGAGAGAGAGAGAGAGAAAGAGAGAGAGAAAGAAAGAAAGAGAGCTAGGGATAGAAAGAGCAAACTTTCCCTTTTCCCCGGTCTCCGAATACTATGCGGGCGCTCCGGTGCGCCGCGCGCGAAATTTCCCTCTCTCTCCCCACTTCCAGGACGAGACGATTTACCGGTTTTCTGGGATAATTTTGGGTTTTAAAGTTTTCCCGGATAATTTTTGTAAAAACTCGTTAAATTTTGACTTTATATAGTAAAAATTATTACTCTATTCAAATCTTTAACATTTTTCATTTTCCGATCCTTTTAAAACACCAAAATTCTCCGTAAAAACCGTAAAAAAGTTTAAATGGCGTTTTATAGATTTTTGCCTTCGAATCCCTTTAAAAAAAACGTAAAACAAATGCTTGGCCCCTTTGTGGAGCCTAAAAGCTGATTTTCACGGAAATTTGAAAATTTAGCGTTTTTCCGGACTTTCCAGGACTTTTAAAAGCCCATACCGTAACTTTATCTTGAAAATCTATATTTTTTTCTAAAAACATTCAACCCGCTTCTAAACATATGAATAGCCGCGGCGAAATCCATTCGATTCAAAAAGTCGATTTCAATTTTTCCAATTCCACATTACACCTTTCAACGCTCCTCGGCCGCTGCCCCGGACAGCCGGATCGTTTATTTCGTTTCGGGGGGCCGACCGGGCCAGCCGATCGGCACGGGAGCATCGATTTCAGGAAATGCTTCGACCCGCCGGGGGGAAAAACTTCTATATACGGGATGGCACAGCATTCACGGGGAGGCTTCATCTTTTGCCCATTCCGTGAGACTTCCCGTTGACAGCTTCTCCTTTTGGTGGCGCCCGAGGGGGGAGGCTGATAACGATCCGGGGTGCCGGCTGGCACCTCGAATACACAGACAGACAGACAGACAGATATCCCCTGCTGTGTTTCTGTCGGTATGGAAAAGCGTGTTTTCTGTATCTATTTCTCGCCCTCTCGGTGTCTCTCTCGCTCTCTCGCTCGGTTGAACATTTTTCGTGTGAATTCTCATATCATCATTCTCATCTCATTTCCATAGGATTTCCCTGACTTCAATGGTCCTTTAAAATGATGGACTAGGAGTTTTTCTTAGGCTTCGGCTTAGGTTTAGGCTTAGGCCTAGACTTAGGTTTGGGCTTAGGTTCAGCCTTAAAGGTATCCGGATTTTATCTCAGAGTCCAAGGCCAGAAATTCCATAGCAATCCATCGTTGCCCTTTGCCTTTAAACCCCGATCTTCTCATGCTTTTTCTCTCTCTCTCTCTCGTTCTCTCTCTCATTCGCGCTCTCTATCTCCCGATTGCAGTCAAAACGGAGCCGTGCGTAGTGAGCGGTCCCTACGGGGTTGGTCGCCGGGTGGGCGGACGTCGCCGCGTCGTCTCCACCCCGTCCACCATCTCCCAGCCACCGACTACAATTTCGGAGCGTCGCGGTTTGAAAAGACCCCCGTCCGCCACCCCATCCACATCCTCATCTCCGTCGTCCTCATCCTCTGCTCATGGCTCGTTGGGGTCGACGCCGCCACGGACATTGCTCGTTCGAAAGATTGTCAACGGGAAACGGGGCACCATCGTTTTGTTGCAGGTGTCGATGATTAAGTTCGGGTTTCGGAACTAACTTGAACCTAACTTGTCCTAGGCTTATCACCAAGAAATAACCAAAAAAAATGCCTCGAAATTTGCCATCCAGCCTTAAAATCGGGTTGAATATAAATTTAGTAGATAAATGCTTTAATTATCGATATCTTTCCAGAACCAGCGCCAATCCCCATCCATGGAATCGCCGGAGATGCAGCGCTACGGCGATTCCCCCAACTTCAACCAGAGCGAGGTGAGGAATTCATAAATTTAAAGCCTAAATTAATTAGTTAAAATTAATCAATAAAATCTAACAATAATCGATGATAGTCTAGACCTAAAGAACTATAATTTGGGACTTACCAGAGCCCTTGTCCTCTAAAAGCGCCTAGAAGAGCCGTGAAAAATGGAGGTTTTCGGGGGGTGTGGGCAGCTGTGTGTGTGCGGCGGCTTTTTCTTTTGAAATGCCCGCAGCCGGTGTGCCGGGTGACTCTTTTCTGGGCTCCCGGGGGCTTCCTGGTCAAAGTTCGAGCTTCCTGAGGGCTGGGGAGCAAGAGAAAAATGTAGAGAGTCAAGGAATCTTCATTTTTTCGTGAAAAACAGTTGGGCTAGGCTGGGCTTAGGCTTAATTTCAGCGTCGGCTTAGCATAGGCTTGGGCTCAACTTGAGCTGAGGCTAAGGTTTTGCTTAGGTTTAGGCTTAACTTAGCTTGAGCTTAGATTCAGCCTAGGCTTGTACAAAATGTCGAAATTCCTGGTCCAACATTGGTTCCGTATTTTTTCATGGTAAAATTCGTTGTTGCGAAATTTCGACATCTTCGATTTCAAAATTCTGAAATTTCGACATCTCGCATTTCGACATTTCGAATTTCGGCATCGTGTTAGCAAATCTACGCCTTGCCTAAGCCCAAACCTAAGCCGAAAACAAGTCGAAAACAAGCCGAAAACAAGCCCAAACCTTCGCATATCAGCCTCATTTCCACACAAAATTCCAGAACCTTCTCCCCATCCATTCATTCATTTCCAGAATAGGCCCGTCAGAACCCAATTACCCGGCGGGGTTTTTGGCCCTCAGCCAAAAGCCTTTGGGGGTGATGTTTGTCTGTCTGTGTGTGTGTGTCTGTGTTTCTGCCTAGCCCCCCTCGCCTCGACTAGCCCAGCGCTTTCTGGGGGCTGTTTTCCCGCACATTGGCACGTGGGGGGTATGGAAGGGGGTGAAGCGTCTGTTTCTCTGCCCCCTCTCTGTCCCTCTCCCTGTCTCTCTCTACCTCTGCTCTCTCGCCGGGCGGCTAGCCATTTTTTGTCAGCTGGTCCGTCCCCCTCTGGCCCCGCCCCCTTTGACCCCAGTGAAACAGCACACACACACAGAGACCCTAAAATCCGACCCTCCGATAACAACAAAAAAACCCAGCTATTCGTTTTATTCCGTTTCTTGACTCACTACGCACGATTCCAAAGTGCTCCTACGTACGAAAACCATGATATTTGACGTGGGTTTCAATCTTAAAGTGACCGGGAAGCCGCTTATAGCGATTAGCAACAAAATCCATAGCTTATTTTTGCCTTCCTAGTCCCTTAAAACTTTCTTCTAGCCATTTTTTACCATAAATAGTTTGTACTAAGCGTTTAAAGGAACGGAGAAGTGAAATTCAAAGCTTTTTTCTTGGCTTAAGATGACCGCGCAGTCGATTTTATCGTTCTACGCCAGTTCTTGCCTTTCCAGTCCCTTTAAAACACTTTTATCAGCCAGGCATCAACCAACATTCAAATAATTGTATTACCTAAACGGATTGGACCGCAATTTGCCAAAAATCCATAACTAAATTTTGCCCCCCGAGTTCCTCAAAACAGCATCGACTCATTTTAAGCATGAAATAGAGTTTTTGATGGTTTAAAGGGACCAGGAAGGCAAATCCACAAAATTTCTGACGCTTTAAAGGCCTTGAAAAGGTATTGTAAAAATTTTAGGAAGGCCATCGAGTGTGTAGCCCTAACAATTTATCAAAAAAGATTTTAAAATTTTTTGAATATTTTAAAAACGTAGAAAATCCAAAAATATTCGTTGAAAGTTGTGCATGTGGCTAAATTGGCGCCTTTAGTTGCTCGATGACTTGATAATAGACGAGATACTCTCGTTGGAGGACGAGCAGCGCATCCGGGGAAAGACACAACCGGTAATTAATTATTCTTTGTCAAAAAATTTCGTTCCGCACCCCGTTTTTGTCGATTTCCAGCAAATATTTTTACAGTATTAAAAATAAATTTTATACTCAGAAGTGTTTTGGGGGTTTAAAAATCGTTAATTTGTGCTTAGATTAATTTTAGTGTGTTTTTAGCCTAATGACACAACGTAATCTATTAATCTACCCTGAATTTGATATCGTAATCGAATAGACCTGCTACAATTTCATCGTGTAATCGAATTTTTGGTCTAAATTAGTGCTTAAAAACTCGAAATTTGATACGGTAGCGAGACGTCACTTGTCCCATTTCATACCGTAATCCTTCTGGGCATTTTTCCGCAATTTTTCTAGCAAATTTGATAACGTGATCGATTAGGAAAATCGGGTCAAAACATATTTCATCGCGTAATGGGTTTAACCCCAGAATTTTGTAGCGTAACGGGTTAGTTGGATCGTGTAACTGATAAAATTTGGGCCCTACCTCAAAATTTTCCGTAGTTTGTTGGTGTTTGGCACTCTGGATGCATGCAGTCCCGTTAGAAAACCACCAAAAAGACGTATTTTTATGTTCGATAAAGGTTTCTGATTTCCAGCTGCCGATCTCGCACTCGTACGCCGACAACTTGACGAACATCTCGGCGAGCCGACCCATTCCCGGCGGGAATAATTCATCTGGTAGGTCTGCTGGGGGACCCGAGGGGGCGCAGGGGTGAAATGCATTGCCGATTTGGCACGTAGCCAGTCGCCAAAAAAAGTTAGAAATACTTTAAAATACGAGACAAAATTGCGAATTCCTAAACTTAAAGTCTGACTTGGTTTGCGCTTTATGCAAATTTCGGAATAATGCCGCACGTTTCCGATTTTCTTGCTGTGATAAAGTTTCAAATAATCTCTGCTATGCTGCCAGGGCGAAAAACCGTTGCTTTTAACTTAAAAAATGAGCCTTAAAGAAGCTATGAAGTATTTCTTAGTTTTTTTTTCTGGTTTTATCCTCATTGAAATCGATATAAAGTTTCACAATGCCGATTTTTTTGGTTTTTATTGTGAAATCATAAAAAAATTCGTTGAAGTGTCAGAAATCCTCAAAAACCTCTGCTAGCCTGCTTTTTGAGTTACGTGGGTTTGCAAAAGTCTAGGAATAAGCTTAAGCCTAAGCCTAAACGCAAAGCTAAGCCAAGGCCTAAGCCAAAGTCTAAGCCTGCCCCTGCCGTTCAGCTAAAAAGACGCTAGACACCCCCGATCAACCCCCAAAAATCAAAGCTTCAGACCCCCCGGAAAGCATTGTTTTTCGGCTGTCTTACCACCCTGGAAAGGACAGTCCATTAATCTGCCGGCCCGCCCGGGGTGACGTATTTTTTTGGGGGGCCGAGGCTCATACGGACCACTTGTTTACGGGGACACCAGACAGCCGATTGGCCAGCCGCCAGCTGCCCCGCTTTTTCTCTGGGCTCTCTCGAAGTTGGCCGCTCTCTCGCCCAGGCCCCGGGAAAGTTGACCAAAACGAACTTTGTCTTACTGTCTGGTTGTTTGTGGGTCTGTGTGTTGTCTGTCTGTCTGTCTGTTTTTCTCTCTCTCTATCGCATCTCTGATTCTCTCGTTTTCACGCTCTCTTGATTTTCTGTTTCTCTCACATTCTCTTGTTCTCACGCTCTCTCTCTCTCCCTCTCTTTTTTTTTCCTCTCGTTCGTTCTTTCTCTTGCTCTCTTTCTCATCCTCACGTTCTTTCTCTCTATTGCACTTTCGCTATCGCTCGCTATCTCGCTCTCGCTCTCTCTCTCTCTCTCTCGCTCTCCTGTAAAGTGCGCTTGTAATATTTCCCGAGTCTCCGCCCCCTTTGTACGCTGTGAACTTGTTTACGGCCCCGCCCGTTGGGGGTCATGTGATTAGAGCGGAGATTATTGCGTGTGAAAGACAACCCTCCCCCTAACAACATTTCGTCACAGTAGCCGAACGGAAATCACCGATACTTTGACACTAGCTAATTTTTGACCCCCCGATAATGATATTCAAATTGCCGCTGCTCGACTGGCACAAGGGTGCGTTTTTCCTGTATTTTTGTGCCGTAATTGATTAGGAAAATTGCAATTAAATCGCGTAAGTATCTAAGGAACTAATTTGACCATAAATTATTCTCGTAATTTCTCAGGAGTACGGCAAAAAATGTAGCGTAATCGATTAGGAATCTCGGCTAGCTTGCCTCTTTATCGCAAATAATCTTTGCTAGCTTGCCATTCCACAACTTTGTCCCGGGTTTTTGGGAATTCCTCAGGAATCTCTGCTAACTCAAAAATTCAGATACCTTTTCACCTTTTCTAGACTTAATCGGCTACGGGCTTTCAGCCTAAAAATGCCCAAATTCTTGACGCTAGTTTGAATGTCACTTCCTTTTAAACAGCCAATTTGCTGTCCAGATTATCGCTGTCGGCATTTTGGCTCTCCGGATTTTTGCTGTCGGGATTTTGGTTTTCAGAATTCAAGCTGTCAACATTTTGGCCTTTTAGTTACAGTCAAGGCACACCTTGGACCCCACCGTGTGACCGTTTCTCCCCTCTTTTTTTGGCAGTATAAGGAGAATCAGCTGTTCGCCTGGGCTCAAAATCGATCGTCCCCTCTCTTGAATTGATGATTGATGGGTGGACAGGGAAGGGGCCACAAAAAAGGACTGCTCGCTTCGAGCCACTTATCACCGCTCGTTCACCATCCTGGCGTTTCGATTAGCCACCCAAAAAATGGGCATTGGGGCTACACAATGTTGAGCAATTTTTCGTAAAGCACCCGGAAGTTGGGGGTAGGCTAGCAGAGGTCCTTGGGAATGAGTTTGGGCCGGTGGAAGGCTAGGTGTAAAGCCATTCGCCTTAACAAAGTGCCCCGTCAAGTTCAAGAAGTTCATTTATCAGAGGTTTTCCCAGTATTTTTATTACCAAACTTTTAAATCAGCCCGGCACGTCAGCAGAAACGATTTGAAATTTACTAAACCTTGGCCTCAAGTTGAAGGAGGTCAATGTGCAGAGATTTTTTGAGAATCACTGGTAAAAAATTCCAAATAAATCCTAAAAACGCTAAGTTCGAAATCGTTATATGGAACGTAGTCTTATCCTCAAAATTCCAGGCGGCTCCGGGCACTCGACGTCTCCAGTGGGCGGTATCGGAATCCCGGGCGTTCAGTCGAACTCGTTCCGCCATGTCGTCTCCTCATCAGCCCCCACCTCATCACACGATATGGATCATATGGTAATTCATAAATTCTTGGTTGTTTAACAAAAGTGTATAAATCACTACATTTCACGAAAAATAGAGAAAAATTTGAATCTCTATTTCAGGTGCGCGGCTCGTCGCAGGGCCCAATCAACGGCGATGACGGCGATTTCTACCGGGACCGCAGGAAGAAGGACATCCATAATATGAGTAGGTTTTGCTTTCCTTCAACGGTCCTTTAAAATTGACTCAAATTTAGAACTTTTAAGTGTCCAGATTTTCAGATCATTTTTGTAAAAATGATAAATAAATAAAATAAAAATGTGGATTTTCAAAATTGTATTAAAATTCCAAAAATTTTAAATTGTCTGCTTAGATTTAAGGTTGTGCTTAGGCTTAGGCTTAAGCTTAGGTCAAAGTCTGAGGCTTAGGCTGATTAGACTTCGGCTTAGGCCTAGGCTTAGGCTTAGGCTTAGACTTAGACATTAGCATCGGCTTGTTAACCTTCAATTAACGCCAACAATTTTCAGTCGAACGCCGCCGGCGCTACAACATCAACGACCGGATCAAGGAGTTGGGGTTGATGCTCCCGAAAGGCAGCTCAGAGTGCGTTTTTCCATCCAAGCACCAAACACAGCAACTGTATGCCCTAGTGTACAGTATTGCAACCCTTTCAGGGACATGAAGCTCAACAAGGGCACCATACTCAAGGCGTCGTGCGACTACATTCGCCAGCTGCAACGCGACCGGGATGTCAGTTTTTTTGCGCGGAATTACATGCCGTGAATGGGCTTGGGTTTTGTGATTTGTAACGTTTTAAAACGGCGTATTACATCCGATTACGCTATGTAAAAACGATTTAAAATTCAGGGCCCTTTTTGATTACGTAATGGATTATTTTGAGCATTTTTGCAGTTTCTAGCTGAAGAATTCAGTTTTTCCTGACGTAATCGATTCATTTTTCCGGTTTTTGTCTTTATTTTCTAGTTTTTACGGCCAAATACCACCAAAACTATACGATTTACACCGCATTTACATCCCGTAATCCATAAAACCCATTTTCAGGTAATGATGAAGCAACAACAGCACCAGAGCAAGCTCGAGGTGACCGCCAAGCAGTATGCCGATCGAGTGCGGGTAAGTCGCCAAAGCCATTAAATAACGTTAGCGATGAAATTATAGCTTTAAAGAGCCAAAACCCTTCCTGTCACGCTCCCTTTAACCTCGTGATTTTTGCAGGAGCTCGAGGAGATCCTCGCCCAGAACGGGCTGAACGCGCCGAGCGGAAACCTCCCGCCACTACCCGTCATCCCAGCCGCGCCGCGCCAGATCAAGCAGGAGATTGACGAGAGCCCGAATCATACGCCGTGTGGATCCCTGGTGAGTGCTTGGGCGGGCTAGCAGGGATTCTTAGGGAAATTTAAGCAGGCGGAAAGCGTTAGAATCTAGGACGAGCTAGCCTAGATCATGGAGGATGACCACAAACCGCTAAAAAACGACCAATTCCAGTCCTCATCCGGCTTCATGTCCCAACTGTCCGACACGACGGCCGCGATGGCCATCGCCAGCCCGATCGGCCGAATGCACCACAACTCCGACTACTTTGGCACAAGCCCCGACTATCAGACGCCGCAGTGGAGGTCGGTATCCAAAGAAAACGCTCATGCTCAATAGATCCCTTAAAACCACCGACTTTTTCAGGCCCGACAGCCACAAGAACATGCCGTTCAGCGACCTCATCATGGAGGACATGAACTTGGCGGTAAGCTCTACTATTTGACGCCCCAATACCGTACCCCATTGCAGACGAATCCGCTTCTACACTCGGACCCGCTAATGTCCCAGGCCGGCGGGCCATCTCCCAATTTGGCGGCCAGCCAAATGTCGCCGGATATTGGATGGGACCAGTCGAACTTTAGGTAGGGCTTTAAAAAAATAGAAAAATAGATGAGTGAATTTAGTACTTAAATATCAATTAAAACTCAATTATAATTAAGTAAATTAACAAAAATAAAATTAATAATAACTTATCGTACTTATTCCCCCATTTTCAGCCCCGACGCCGGCCAGAACCAAATGCACAACAACCACAACATGGACTACACCTAAGCGTCATCAGCATTATTCCGTTGTTGTACCTGTACATACCTGTATTATTAAACCTCCACAAATACATACATACATACACGCCACATATATACACACACAGCTTGTTCCCCTGTTTTTTTTTGCCCCCTTGCTGATTCCCGAGATATGCGATATTTCGTCGATTTTCGCGATTTTATTTTCGACTTTATCGCGCCCCTTATTATTCCCCTTAATTTGTACATTTTAAAAATCTTGAAAACCGTCGGCCGCGGCGCTTTTTGCGAATTTTCGATCCGCCCACACTACCCGGATGTCCACTGGACTGCGCGTAGTTTCGTGGCGTAAACGAATAGACGCGAAGCGCGGCGCGGTCCCGCTAGGAACCGTGTGTAAAGTGACAGCCCGGCAATTTGCTGAACTCAAAATTCTCGAAAAATTTTGCAAAATCGACTTTAGTAAACTGCCGGAGCGCCCCCATTTCCACCCCGGGTCCCCCCAACAAAACGCGACAGGAACGACTCTCCCTTTTTCACTATCCCCCATTGATTTTTATTTGTATTTTTATATTTTTGTATGTATACTTCCAATCAACGCAAGCCCGCTTGAAAACATTGAAAAAGCCGTTGAAATCCGCTTGAAATCACTGTAAATGGGCAAAAATGCTGATAACGCCACCCCAGCCGATTCTAACTTTTTTATCTCGGTTCATTGTTGGTCTACAGTTGTGCTAAGTATACCAAAATGTTCGTCATTTTTTGGCGAGTATTTTGGTATACATTACAGCCCTGTAGGATAGCGGGGAGCCAAGTAACAATAGGCGAAAGTCGGCTGGGGGTGGGGGTATCTGCAGTTTAGCCCTGTAAATGCCTTGGCCCTAAACCCCGTGCATCCAAACACGTATTCAGTTCCTTTCTTTTCCCACAAATTCATCCAGATTCGTGTATCCAACTGTGTTCAGGTTAGCAAATTTACCCTAAACGTTTCCTGAAAGTTTCTACGCTTTCCAACCCCACATTTCCCCACCAAAACCTAGACACCCTTTCGCTGTACACATCCAACCCATCCACCGGCCATCCAAAAAAGTCATTTATTGTCTAGGCAACCAATTTTGGCGAATGTAAATGTGAAGATATAACAAAAAGATACTTCTATTCTACGATTCCTGTCTTTGATGTGGCCCCGCGACCCTCGCCCCCATCTCCCCCGGCTGTACATAACTATACACACACCCATTTTGGACGATAAAAGATGGTGAAATATCGTTGTTCTATGCATTTTCATACACCTAAGCAAACAAACCAAAAAATTTAGACAATCTTTGGTCGATATGCGTAAAGTTTTAGCAAAAAAATGTTTAGAAACGGTCCTAAAAATTAATAAAGCTTTCCAAAATTTGGAATAAGGGTCCAAAACGTATCAAAACCAATAGATACGTCGATTTTCAATTTTTTGGAATTTTTTCTGCTCTTTTAGTAGTAAAAAAACTTTAAAAACACGAAAAATACAGTGTTAACCCCCCGCGGTAAAATCCCAGTACCGAAAATGCCACCACGAAATACAAACAATTTATTGCGAATCGACGATAATTTTGGGCGGGTCACCACTGGCCGCGGTAGAGGTGCAGCGCCTTGTCGCGCAGTGAGTAGTCGCCGTACACCTTCTTTTGGCGCATCTAGGCGGGGGTTCGGTAAAAAACGCCCCGAAAACGACAAACCTCATACCGGTGGCCCTCGCTGCGGGCCTCGCCCCGCTTCCGCACCATCCCGTGGGCCAGCCCGAGCAGCAGGAACAGGATCAGGCTGAATTAAAACTAGTCTTGAAACGTGAAAAATACTCTGTACGAAATTTCCCTTTCACTTACAAAAACACCAGGCCGTCTAGCACGAAATAGGGCCCGTCGCTAACGTAGATCGCCATCTTCGCCGATGGATAAAACTGATCGGCCGAATTTCCTTTCTGAAATAGGTATATAGGTTATGGATGCAAATGAGGGTTCAGAATTTGGACTGGTCTGTTAGCGGGGGAGGCTAGCGGAATTTTAACGTTCTTTAGTTTATTTTTAAAAACCTGCCTTCTCGCTACTAAAATGTCAAACATCCTTTTTAGAAAACCTAGGAAATTTAAAATATTTTGGCCTTTTTCATAAATTTTTGACCAAAAGCCCAAAGTTTTAGGAAGATTTTAATAATTTGTTGCAATTTTTATACTGAAAACCGCTTAAAAATCCCTATAATTTTCGTGGCTTTCATTGCTGGGATCCAATTAGGTCCCTCCCCCCCCACTAACAGTTCAGTACCTCCCTTGAGCCGAATATTTCACGTACTTTTTATTTACCTGCGGGGACTTCACGTGGCGATACCTCGCCGGGGCGCACCCCGCTCTCGGCACGTCACGCTGACCGATTGACCAGGAACCCCCGCTAGTTTGCCATCCCACGGCTACAGGTGCGCCCTGCCGTTGGCCCGAAGAAAAAGCGCATCTGGCCACCTCGATGTGTCAACGCCCGACGCCGTCAACCCCGCGCCCCGCGCCATATTTAGGGCGTCTAGGCGCCGCAGCCGCCCATCCTCCGTGCCGGCACACATCTGATGGACTTGATCTGGTTATTTTTCGCCCTATTCGCCGTAGTTGTTGCCTCTTTGGATGGTGAGGAGAGACTGTTTTTTTGTCTACCAGCTGTTTTTAAGGTTCCACAGCCGTTTGCATAGCAAAGCTCGTTCGATAGAGCTCAATATTCTGAAACAGTCCCAATTTTCAAAAATTACCTTCTGACTTCTATTTAATTAAATTGAAAGTTACTGGAGAAAATTCGCCCTAACAATAAGGGTTCGATTTTGCCCATTTTTGGCCCCAGTAAACAAAAATTAGAGTTTTCTCTGCTATTTTCTTTTCCGCTCACTTTTCTATACTTAAACATCTCTTTTTTGGAAATGTTATCGAACACCGTTCTTGATAAGATATATCAGAAACATGAATCCTGTTCAAAAATTTGAACTCTATCGAGTGAGCAAGATCACATCGAAAAATTTATATAACCTAAAAAACGACTGCTTATGAGCACCCAAAGCTCTCAAACCTGTAGCTGAACACCTCACGAATTCAGACTGTGTACGCCCATGGCAACAGCCAATGATGACCCGCGCATTGATCGGGCAACCATCAAAGCCACATGCTTGCCATCCGGAAGGGATGAGATGTCCGAAAGGTTAGTCGATAGCGCTCACAGTTACCAGTAGCAGATCGGAACGCCTGAAAATAAGTGTGATAAACCCACATCTAGGCCACAACGAGCAGTGCCAATTCTCTTTCCGCAGTTTCCGCTACGTCTGCTGTGAAGATCGCGCGGATGAGGATCCACCAGGTACGCGCCTAATCTAACAAAACTCCTCGATTAACCAGAGTGCCCACGCTATCACGATACCCTCCTCACACTGTGTGATGGACGTGAAAATGCCTGCCCGCGAGGCTTCAAGTGTCTGGGGTCGAGGCAAGACGAAAAGATTCGACTGTGCTGCCGGTCGAACCCATCGCTGAAATATCCAGAGCCAGCCACCAGTATGCCCTCTAAACAACGATAACTCGCCCCCGTCATTTCAGCTTTCAAAGACAAAAAGATCGTCCCGAAATTCCTTCCCACAGCTCCAAAGGCTGTCGCCCAGGTTAGATGCTATCAGATTTGATGGTATACTAATTTTAGGTGAAATTCGGAAACCACTCCATTCTTACTGGGGAGCTTTTCGGAGCCGAAGAGCTGGAGCGACTGGAGAACGAGCCCATGATAGAGATTCCTCAATGGGACAAGGACACGCTGTATACTGTTGTCCTATTTGGTTAGCCGCCCCTGTTATAGGGAGGCCGAATCAATGCGTTTTAGATATCTCGGCCCCAGATCCGGTATACGTGCGATGGCTAGCTGTGAATGTGCCAATAGTGGAGGGTGTCATAACGATCAACAGCAAGGCCCGCATCGTAGAAGTCTATGACGCCCCACATGGCGGCGACAAGCCATCAGGTAGGACGATGCCGCCATCCAGTCTAAAAACAATTAGGAATGCATGTATTGGTGTTGGCTGTCTATTCCCAGAAGGACGTGTGGAACGGGAAAACCATCGGTAAATTCGACCCGGTCGGGGTGAGTATCCGCGCTCTACCGCAAACATCGCTTCTTTCAGCTAAACATTGGGGCATGGATACGCCAAAATGGAGAGATGATCGAACAAGAACCAGTTGCCGGAAACTTCTACGCGGTCAGTTCCAATCCTTTCGGCAAAACTCTCCCGTTTCAGTATATGACCACGCTCGCATAACGGCCATAATCAGATACTCAATAAAGAATTTATGTTTTAGTTACAAGAATCTTGAGAAAATGACAAATCAAACACAACAACGAAAAGCGGGTCACAGTCGAAATAAAGACAATGCACAGATAGAAGCACAAATCAAGTATCAGTTCTAATCCAAATAATTCTGACTGGCGGCGAAGTCTTCCACCATGTTGCTGAGCCATGTGCCACTGGGTGGGGGTGAGCTGAAAAAAGTGATCCGCGGAAGCAGGCAATGGGATACCATAATCTCAGGATCTATCACGTCCCCGGCCGATGCATAGTCGGACACGGATGGGCTGGATGGCTTGGGCATAAGGCGAGAGGCCCGACGCTCCAGCGTGGAGCGACGCTGGTTTTCGCTCTGGGCGGCCAACGAGTTGTAAGGGGCGACCTGCTTTGCTGAACGAAAAAAATTAGGCGCGAAATTATCCATACTGCATGTTGGAGCGAGAGATTCACATTCGGCATTCGCACGGCTCTCCGTGCGAAGGGTTATGCCGTGTAGGAAGCCCGGGGCTCGGCGGATGGGCGAAAACTCGAGCGGCTTCCTTTCGTCGCCCACGTCGGTTACTTCGGACTTGACAATGGATCTGTCGACAAAGTCGCGGAGGCAAGCACCAACATCGCGATAAATCTGAACAAGCGTCAACCCAATAGAATTTGCTACCTTGTCGGGCAATTCCCGCAAGTATCTTTCCATCTCATCCAACTGTGCATCAAGTTTATCGAGGCGAACCTGCAAAGGCTAACCTTACGAAGGAAACGAATCAACTACCTTGTAACTTATTTCATGCGATGTCTTCGAGACAAGTTCAGGGTACCGATTCCCGGACGAAGCCTGGAAGCAGGTTTGTGCCAAAAATGCTAAATACCGTGAAAGATTCGTATCCGCGTTGGAAATCGCTCATCTCGCCAATGGTCTCATTTTGCTTGATGATCTGCCTCACCCGGTCCTAAAACACGCAATTTCTAGCGAACAAGTGTCAGACCTTAGCAATGACGCGGTTCTTGTAGTACGGCAGTTCGGTCTGGCGCTTCACCCCAAGGCGTTTGCAGATCAGCATCCGGCGACGCTCGTAGGCGCGTTTCCTTGCCGCAAAGCGCTGCAGGTTCCATTCGGCTATGGTGCCCGGAAGGTAAGCGGTCTTCCCGCGTCGGCCATCGAGGTAGGCAACTAGAAAAATATGAGTGACCGAGATATGTTTACCGAATTTACGGATGCGACCCTTCGCCAATTCTTTCGATTTGCGCGGTGCGCTCGATGAACTTGCTTCCTTCCCGGTCATCCGACTAGCCGTGCGGCCCCGACAGCTAAAACGAGACTTAGAAAATTCGGAAACTGTGCCAAGCGAGCTGCTGGCGCACGCTACAGTACCCAGAAGAGCTACGGGCACCACAAATTACCGAACTCGTTCGGACGTTTTCTTAGGAAACTGCGTAATGTTTTATTTTGCAAAAACAATTTTGTAATTTTTAGAAAATCGGATATATTATTTTACGCAATAAGCAATATTTTACGTACATCGAGTAGTTCAATAGTTCCACTGACGCTAATATTCGCTTGGTACATTTTTACCCTTTCAATTGTTCTTCCATTCAATTTATTTCTTGTTTCTAATGGGTCTCCCGATTTTGTGGGATTGTTCTTCGCTTGCACTGTATTTCCTGTGTGATTGCACTTCCTCGCTTTTCGTATGGACTCGTCCATGTGGGAAAAGATTGCCCGTTGGCCAGAGCACAGGGTGGCCCGTGCATTTCGAGTTACGACATCCAATAGCCACTCACATCTCTGATTCTTTTAAATTTTAGCCATCGCCGACGATGCCCCGGGAAGAAACTAAAGAAGAAGAAGCCGAGCGGAAGGCGCTTACCGCGTATGACTTGATCCGGGTGAAGCTTGAACATCTGCAGAAGAATATAGTGCGTTTTCAAAAGTTTCTAAAGCGGTAAAAGTCGCTGGACCTCTGTTTCTATCCTTGCCTTTTTCAGGACTAACTTTGTTTTTTTTTTCAGGACAAGCCTGCTCCTATTCCGCCTAGACCGGAGAAGCTTACGGCTCCAAAAGCTGCACCAGAATTCGTCCGCAATGTTGTCGGCTCTACCGCGGCTGCCGGAAGTGCAGAATATCACATCTTCAGGTATATGCAACCGCAAATTACTAAATGGGGTTTTTTAAGGAATTTGCGGCGTCGTGAGCAGAATCGCCTTGACTACATCAATGCAAAAGCGAAGATGGAGCAGGATGCCGAAGAGTTCGAAGCAGAGAGGCTAGAAATTCAGCAGGTTCGTCATATCTTTCAATTTTTCCCGGTTTTCCCCCCAACTGCGTGAACGTGCTTTTTCAGGAGGAAGAGCAACGAACAGCCAAGAAGCGGGCAAAGCGGCAACGTCAGAAGGATAACAAGCGAAAGCGGAAAACCAAGGCAAGCAGCCATTCTATTTTTTTCCTACGTTAGTTTTCTTAGGCTAAGAAAGAAGGCGAAAGCAGTTCGGACGACGACAGTGATGACGATGAAGAAGAAGCACCCAAAACTGAAGCCGCTGCCCAGAGTAGCTCGTGATTTGTTTTTATCGGTTGTTTTTGATTTTCATTTTGGTTGTAAATACATCTTTTGATTTGAAATACGCCTCTGAGAAAAGCGGTTTAGAGGATTTTTTTGGGAACAGAACTGTGTTGCGCAAGGTCTAACAAGATTACTGATTCAGCGAAAAATACATTTCTGCTGTTGCTTCGGCCGGCACTTGTCCGGACTTCGGGTGTCATCCCAATTTCGCGAATGGCCTCCGATTTGTGCGAATTATTGCGAGTGGGACCCAACGGCTGGCGCATCGATCCTTCGCGAAGCGAGGGGACAGGCGTGAATTTAGAAACGTGAACCATATGCGCCGGGCGACCGTGCAAATTGGCCGCAGTTTATGGATTGATTGGGCTCATCGCATGTGGGACGCATTAGAGGAGGAGGGGGCAGGGCCCCTAGTTGCATCCAAGAACGTCAAGTATACGAGCCAATTTCGCTTGGTTGGGCGGCGGATGGTGGTGCTATTGTTCCATTCGTCTGGTACGTTGATGCTCCTCCTCGAGGTTCAACGATTCTAGTTCTATATCTTATTCGGTATTTGAGTCGTGGTACAGTTGCCATTTTTCTACATCCCCCGGGACAACGACAGCCATTGGCCCAAAAAATTCGCCCGTATTACTCAGTGGACTAATCCTCATGCGTACCTTGTGCCCCATTTGATTGTTCTTTCGTGATTCGTCAACCTAAGCGTACCAATCACGGTGCAATCAAAAGCGGCATTCCGGTAATGGCGCACGGCTTTTGTTGCCAGATTTATTTACACGTGGTATTCCTTTTGTATATGGTGCTCAGACGATGTCGCTGAAGTCCCGGAAATGGATGTCGGCCAGCGAACGCGTCGATCCGATCGGGTTTGTGAAACGGGGAGAGTCTTCGACCTAAATTTTCAACTATTGAAATTCGGAGCACTTTTAATACACGACATAATGGTCCTCTAATTACCGAATTCATGCTGGACTCCGAGCGCAGGTAGCGGCGCAGAGCGTCGCCGACAGATTGCTGACGTGGACGAGAGGCCAGGATCTCTTGCACGCATCCCATGAAAATGTCGAATATCTGAAAAGGGAAAACATAATACATAGCTCGCCATATTCAGTTTTTAGGCTCTTACGGGTTTTTTCCTTTTTTACCTGCTGACGACTCTCGACATCTTTGGTGCGGCCCTTCCACATCGTCATCAACCGGCTCCACTCATCAGCCTTCATCCGCTCGCAGGCCTCTTCCAGCTTTGAGCGCTCCTGAATTTGCTTCGTGAGCGCAATCTATGTATTCTCCTCAGCATAGCACGCTTAGTTATATAATCTTTCAAAAAAAAAACACTTACATCAGTGGTCAGCCACTTTTTAGGGCGCAAATTCGGGTCGGTGACCAGCCAGGAATAATCTGGACGGCCCGTGCTCGCCTGCGATTTTCGGCGCTCCTAATGGCTTCGGTTAGTCAACTTCCCTTACCTTACCTCGCTCGTCTCGAACTCTGTCACCTGGTGCTCAACCTCGCTAACCACGAGGTCAATCATGAGGCTGTCGTCAGTGTCGCCGAGTTTCTAATAAAAAAGGTCGTTCAGATATTCTGGGGGCTCAAATAGCGCCTAGAATTTACTTACCTTGCGCGGATCATCCACGCTATCTTGACGGGGTGAAGCCATCTCGCTGATCCACTTGATCATCTGAAATATAGGTGGTGACACTGAAGAATGTGGAATATGAGGAAAGAGAACGAAGGGCAAAAGACTTTGTATTTCAGGCAACTTGTTTTTGCCAGCCGGGAGATGGCCAAGTTGTGGGTGGGGGAGATAATGGCAAAGCCGAGGCTGGAGGGCGGATGGCGCAATGGGAAAGGCGGATTTGGGATGTGCCAATTTGCGGTTGCCAGGGGATTTTCCCAGAAATGATGAGTATATGGGGGAGGATCAGGAAGAAAGGTTGCGGGGCGAAAGGCGTTGAATGGCTTCAAATTATCCTGAATTGCTTCCGTTCGGGTCAACGGAAGCCCCTCAGGAGAAGATCAGTTGGGTCCGAAGGGATTAGCCCAGTCTTTATAGCTCTCTTTAGACTTTAGCGGCTTCCCTTGCTCCGTGTATAAAAAAACGACGATAAGCGAAAACCCTCATTTCCCTGCGAGCTTTTTTCAAGCGTAGTAAATAAAATCTAAGAGGAACTGAAAGAAGCTCGTTTTTGGGCGGCCAGTTATAGGAATTCAGGTCCAGCTGCAATTTAGCCGCGCAATAAATGGATTAGCTAAATTAATTCCAAAAACCGACGTGGGTTTGGGCAACCTTATAAAGAAAATTAATAGTGTCATAAAAATACAAATAGAATTGTAGATATCGGTCCTGCGCTAGAAAGAATTAAATAAGATTCAGCCACCGGTGGTGAACCACGGCTGCCGCTGGGCATATATACGGCAAATTCATCGGCAAATCCCCTCGGTCGGAGACGGATTACTTAGGCTCTGCGCAAATGATGACTGGCTGATGCGCCTAATTCCCCGGGGGTTATTTACTAGAGTGCGATCGACCTGTGCTTGGAAAAATGTTCATGAAAAAAGGAGGAAAAGTTGCTAAAATGCACGGTGAGTGACGCTGCATGAGAATTTGCCTCATGAACATTACCCAATCCAGTCTGAAGTCTCTGCAGCGACCCTTGTGCAGCGATGATACGAAAACGTGAAATCCCAGGCGCATATTGTCACTTGCCGAGAAGAGATCTCGGGGTAAATAAGCCCTTTGCATTTGCGTCAATCCCCGCTCCACGTCAATTTTACAAATTTGCCATTTCACGAGGGGATGCGTGGCGGAAAACACGCAGTTACCGGCCGGAAATAGGTGTGCGCCTCCGAAAATAGGTATTGTGGATCAGAACCCGGCGGAATTAGGGGGAATCCACAACGGGAGACTTGCCGAGGATTCTAGAAGAGCGTCGATTCGTGCAAAGTGATGACGGCTTGTTGACCTGCAGAAAAGTGCATAACTTTTTATTGCTGAAATCAATTTTAATTGCAAAATCGATCCAAAAAAAAGAGAATTTTGTCATTGACTGTTTCCGAAAGGTTCCAATTGCCACTCGGTAGGGCGGTTGCTAGAAGGTGGGGAAAATACCGTAACCTCTCCTTTCACCTGACTACAGACTACAGTCCAGCGGTTCGCTTTCCAAATCTGGTTTTGAAAGTTTTCGTTGCTCTTTCATCGCTCTTTATCGCTCTTTTTCAAGCCTATTATTGACCGCCGCCATCTGCTACCATAACGCGCTCCGCATTAGCGAACCGCCCCGATAACATATCCTTTGGGCATATCAACCCAGACCTGTCCCAATTTACAATCCCGCCATTTGCATTTCCGACATCTGCCGAGTTTCTCTGGGCCCGGCAAATTATACATTACTTCTTTTACAGCTTCGTTCGGTTCTGCTCGCCAAGCCATCATTTACAATGGAGAATCAGCAATCTTCCACGACCGTCCTGTGCCGGTGAGTTTTATTCGAATTTCTTGTATATCCTTGCTTTTTCTTTCAAAACCCCCTCGTTTTAGTGCCGGCTGCGGTTTCTATGGTTCCAATTCTTTCGAGGGGCTATGCTCGGTGTGCTTCAAGAAGGCGATCAAGGATAACCAGAGCGGCCACTCGTCTGCCTCGGCAACGACCTCGGCCACCACGGTGATCAATGCCCATGATGCGCATGCGAATTCGACAAATTTGCCACCCTTTTCCAAGGTTGATGCGGGAGCGGAAGATGCTGAGGTTTGACATCTTGTCCGGTGATATTTTTGATTTTAGGGCTTGAATCAGTCGGCTCCCGCCGTTGAACCATCCATCGTCGTCCCGGAAGTGACTTTGCCCATGGCCAAGAAGAACCGCTGCCAGGAGTGCAAGAAGCGCGTTGGACTCACCGGTAGGGTTTTCCAGGGTATCTGCATATGTTGTTTTCCTAGGTTTCTCTTGCCGCTGCGGTGGGATGTACTGCGCCGAGCACCGCTACGACAACGCTCACGACTGCAAGTTCGACTACAAGACCATGGAGCGGGAGCAGCTGCGCAAGGACCATCCGGCCGTTGTCAGCGAAAAGATCCAACGCATCTAGCTTATTGATTTCTCGCCGGTGCTTTGTTGATTTTCCTTCGAATGACACTAGTGCCTTCACTTACTTGGTTTATTGAAACGGGTGGCTGATTTTTATTCTTCCCATTGTAAAGATACTGATTCCCAAATGGATAATTATTTGTAAATATTCCTTGTTGGTGTGTTGGTCATAAAGCGGTTTGCAAGGGCAGGCTTTGGCTCACTCTTTTCCGTCTTTGTAAACATCACACCGATGAGCTCCAACTGGGCATGGCTCACTAATTACTCTTATTTCATTTGATGATGCTTGACCTCCTTCCCGGCGCCAAGGGTGCATGCATTTGATAAATTTATCCCCACATCACATGTGACGCCGCAAGGGCTACGGCTAAAACGACATCGCAGACGATTGACAAATTCTGTTCTGTAGCAGTTCGGTTGTTGGGGCGCGGCTATTGTTCCTGCGTGTGTGCACAGAATTCTTGGACGAATATTTATCAGAGAAGGAGCCGGTATAATTCTTTATCTCTACGAGTTAAATCCACACGGAATATTGCGTTCACTATGATGCTTTCACAAATCTTTTAAGCAATCCTTGACGAGTTAGAAGAGATCGAGGAAAGAGAAGAAGCCCTTCTTCGCCTTGCTGGGCACTCTTTTGAGCCTCTTTTCCTCCGGAACGTCGGTGCCGATCGATGTTTCGGTGACCTTGTTCTAAATTACGTTGTAGTGCTTGCTTGCATGCTGCTGCTCATACCCATATGCGTACGGTCGGCCTTCCACCAATGTTCGTCTGGCCTAGATGGCTTGTTTTTAGAAGGTCTAGGATGACCCACTAGTCGATTTGGTGCGCGCGACGTTGGTGCTGCTGGTACGGCCTGAGTTTTCCAAATAAGGGTGTGGTCCTGGACCCACCTAGAGACCTAGCCCGTCGCAACTGCGGAGCAGCCATCACCGACACAGCCTTCGGCAGGATCGAGTAGGTGGACAACGTTTGTTTCCTGTAATGGGTTTGGATGATGCACGGCCCGGCATCTTATTAGATTGCCGACGAACGCCCTACTTGTTGTTATTTGATTCGCACGGAGCGCCCATCACGGACTCGGACGGCTTGCCCATCATGGACTCGCCGGGTTTGCCCATGACCGAATTCGAAACGGGGGCATCCATCGGAATCTGTCCCATCACAGACGTCATCTAAACATCAACACGTTTTACGGAAGTCTACGAAAGATCACCTTCAAGGCAGCCGGATCGACCGGGAGCTTCCCCAAAACCGAGTAGCAGGTGGTCGGCTCTCCGAGAGGCTTGCTCATCACCGACAGGCTTGCCGTGACCGCTGGCGCTTGCAGTTGCTGGGGCGGGGCGCCCATGATGCTGGATCCAGCCGGGGCTGTCTTCAAGAGAGGGATCGGCTGGATCTTCCGGTAGAACTGTAAGGAGAAACAATGGTAGTGCCGCCTTTGATAGCTCTTGCCATTCGATGCATCTTTGAGGCGTTCGCCCCAATCGACACAGCATCCGCTCCCATGTGAATTTGTTGCTGCTGCGGCGGTGGGAACTATTTGAGCGTGTTAGCGGTCAATAGCTTCCTACAAATGAAGCGATGAGGCCGTTGATTGTGTCCAGAGCCTCCTGCGTACATGGGCGTTCGACGACTGCAGTGAAACCGCCCTTTCTGAAAATGTGAGTATTATGCGCAAAAGCCTGATCCGCACGTCTTGTAGTTGTGCCAGTACTGATTCACAAATGTAGTCTGGTTGAACGGTACAGGAGAGTTGTTCAGATCGAGCAGCGCATCGCCGACCGCCAGCCACCGCGCTGCAGGGGTGCCCGGAAAAACCTAGCCAGGTGAGGGGATGATAAAACCAGCCACCTTGCAGACAAACACCTTGTTGTTGACGACACGGCCCTGGTAGCCGAACGTCTTCAACTTGGTCATGTCATCCCCAGAGGCGCGGGTCACTAATGAATACGTCAGTCCATAACTATTGGTTGGTGAAACCTCCCAGCACAGCATATGTGAAGCCGTAGGTGTTCATGAGGCCCAAGCTGTTCATGCGCGCGCGTGGCACTGGCGTTAATCCGACGCGACGGGTGACGGAAAGCTTGTGCTACAATTATCATCAAATGTTGTGACGAATTTTATGATGCACCTTGCCCTCCTGATGCAACGTCCTCACGAGATCTTCAGCGATCAGGCCTGCAACCGGTTTGTCGTCCAGCTTCAGCAACTAAAGCAAAATGTTTGCTTTGTGTAGTGTATAGTGTACCCGATCGCCGACGATCAGTTTCGACGTCACAAAGTCGGCATCCGAATTGAGGAAGAGGATCTAGAATATCGTTAAAACACCAGTATGCAAACGCCCACCTCCTTCGTGGGTCCGAACTCGATGTAGTCGCCGATATCTCCCTAAATGAGAAAGTTTTACGAGTTTGCCATACATCATACCTGATCCCAAGGCGTCACAATGATTTCGACATCAATCTGAGTGTAGAAGAGGTCCGGGAAGAGTTTGGCAGTGTAGTCCGTCGGGTTGTTCACAAGCGTTTCACGGGCGGATTGTGTGCTAGATTTAAGGTAACTTCTTCAAAAAAGAGCCTTACTTGGCATTAGGGCCGGCAGGCTTGCTCATCCCGTGGGAGCCGCCGTCGAGTAGGTGTTTAGGCAAAGGCTTGTGCTTCTGGCACGTTATTTGCAAGTAATTTATTCTCGTTTCAGCGTAATCAAAATAAAATTCAAATTTTTCCTATCATTCCTGAGCAATTTCCTCGGTGACCGGCGACACCTGCTCGATGCACTGCACCAGCGAGAAGGGCTGGAACGGCTGGCCGGTGCCGATGTAGAATTTCGATTGAAACTCCACCCAATGCAGTCGCAGGGCGTGAAGGAAAGCGGAGAGTCCTATCAAGCGAAATTTTTTTGATTAAATTGACATAGACTAGGTACCTTCCATCAAAACGAGCACGGAGAACGTGAGCAGGGCGAACACAAAGAAGAACACGTACGCCAGAATCGGCGCCAGGTGGCTGTTGCCGGTGCCATTGATCCCGGACACAAACACCATGTGCCAGAGGACTTCCGATAACTCTGTAAAGGTTTATTTTTTTAGATACTTTAATTGAGTGCACATACGCGCGTGGGCTAGTGACAATGCCCAGAGACGTAGATAAGAAGCCGTGTGTGACACGCATCCGAGCACGAATTCGATTGTATGAATGGCCTGAAAATTTAGAGATTTTTTGATATCCGCTCCGATACCTGATGAACAATGACGTCAGTATTATCGTGTGTCTCTTTCTTTGCCTCCTTCTCCTGCGCCTCGCGGATTGGCGCCAGCTCTTTGATGCGGAGCGATTGCGGCTCTTCGAGCAGCAATTCCATCTCGGATCTCCGCTTCTTCATGTCTTTGCCTAAAGACGTGGCGTTTTATTTTTTAGTTAGGTCAGCTGTTAATGCAAACCTTTCCTCCCAAGCACTTGAATTAAAGGTTTCGTGAAGAGCATTATTGGGATGCATCCAAGCGCCAGCATCAGGAGTGCGAACTCGACGTTGGCCTGAATTTTTTGGTACGACACCTCCGCATTTTGTACTACCTGATGTGGATACCAGAAATGTAGATAACAATTCGACAATGTTTGATTCGGCATCGTGCTGGGCCTGAATTCGTTGCGCTATCGGGTACTATCTTTTAAACTAACCCAACGTTCCTTTGTTTCATCATAAACATATTAATCAAGCCGATGAGAAGGGAAGGCGCACATTTGGCACCTAAAACCGGTCTTCCCTTACTTTTAGTACTGACCTTCGTATTCCATCCCGAAAACGAAGCCCGGCTCGTAGGTGAAATAAATCCACTTTACGATAATCTGCACGCAGAGGTAGATGAAGATTGAGGTCAGGAATATCAGCTGGGGGAAGAAATTGAATAGCACATCAACGATCGAGCGGTTGTGGCTGATTTGTTGAATTGAGACTAGAGATTCCCCGCTTACCAATGATTGAATAGGGAGAGCATCACGCCAAACGTCATCTGAGCCACGCCAACAATTACGGACACCTAGAGTCTCTAATCGTGATTTTTTTCCCTTGCCCCCTACCTTCATCTTCATCGAGTTCAGGAAGTTCAGCTTGTTTTCTGCCACATTCCAGATGGGATCAACTCCGAAAGGATAAGGTCCTCGCTGAAAGCTTGTTATAATCATTTTGCTCGAAAATTTACCTCTCGTGAATATGACTGGTCGGGGTAGAATTCTAAAATTTTCTTGCTGGCACCCCCGGATTCCACTTCGTCAAGCGTAGTCGCGCTGGAATTAACTTTAATGAAACTTCTATGAGGATCCTGGGATGAATTTTGCTTTTACTCACTTGTAGGGATTCGACCAACTGCTTCCAAATATGTTGACAGACTTTGCGAAACTAAATAGAAACTTTTAGTCTGGCAATTGGGAATAGCTCGAACCCGTCATTGTAGATCAGGCCGGCATATATTGAGAAAAGACCCATGAGTAGGATTAAATAGCGGCCGCCGAAAAATGTGTTGAAAATCTGGCAATTGAGGGGGGAACTGGGATGACCTTACCTCATCTGTTATCCGGCGTTTGATTATTTTTCTTTCGTTGATCACCAAATATAACCCGGATAGGAGCAGCAGGATTCCGTGCCCAAAGTCGCCAAACATAATGGCAAATAGGAAAGGGAAGGTGATGATCGTGTAGGGGGCTAGAGGTCAGGCTAATTTTAAAGAAGTAGAGAACTTACCGGGGTTGACTTCTCGGTAGCTGGCCACACCATAACCATCCACGATCGATTGGAATACCCTGGTGAACTTGTTGACTCGATGGTAGGTCGGTGGAGAGCGGGCCGATTCGAGGACATTCAGAATTGGCGCGACATTACCGCCAGTTCGTTCCTAGAATTATAAAAGTTCGTGATTTTTCCTAGAAAGGATGACTGAGCTGATATTTTCGTCACTAGACTCACCACGCCTTTTTCCATAGCACTTCGCACAGCATCAAGCTCCTTCTCCGGCACCCAGCACTCAGCAGCCAGAAATCCGTTAGTGTCCACTAAACACTTTTTTTCGATTTTGGTCTAAACCGTAAGGTATTCCAAGCAAAAAGTAGCTGCTCTGACCGAGCTCACTTACACGTGAAATTGTTTAGCGTGTGGAAAACGGCCTTGTAGAGCAGCACCTGTTTCTTCCATTCAGGGAGTAGTGTCGAGATTTCGGTAAGGATCTGGGAATGGTAAGAACATTGCTACGGACAATGGATACCTGATACTTATGATCCTCGGTCCTGTGAATGATGACCTCGAGATCGAGTATTCTGGTTGATGTGTCAAGTAGGGCAGCTTGTCGATCGCGTGACGACTTGGGGCAGGGATATTCACGTGCGGCGAAACTATGCGGAGCATCGATTATCATAATGATATTTCTTTTAGCTTACCCTTCGCAAACCTTCTCCACAATCAACTTTAAGCTTTCGCCCTTGAAGAACACGATAAAGACGACCTTTTCGATCGGCATTTCCTGGAAGTGTTGTTCAAAGCGTGAGAAATCGTAACCTACCGTTCTAGGATCGATGAAGGAATAATTTATATCCGCCATCCGAACAAAAGCTGTTCTTCGACACGCCCTCCAAAGTACTCGTTCGAAGGACAGCTTCTTGTCGGCAGGAACAACGCCTGAGATGAACCTACAAGCAAATAAACACCGCATTCCCGAAATCTACCAAGCCGATTCTTTATTTTCCTCATGTCCATTTTCAAACGTTGGAGACGTTGGAGACGTGGGAGTTTTCGGTGGTAGGTCGAGCAACGGAATTTCCGCTAGCGGATCACCGACGGAATTTCTTTCTGCCTCTTCTATCGTGCGACTAGCTTCGATCTCTAGGTGCTGAAACAGATTGTCTGATTTTTGAGAATCTCAACTTACCACTTGGAAAAAGACCTCCACTTTTTGGATGACATATTGGAACTCTCGCATCTCATTCAATTGACGTCTCATCGTGGAGTCACTGTCGTTGAGCTCGCGGATCGCGTGCTCTTTTTCGCTCAGCGCAGCCTAAGTAAGTATTAGATAGCGTTTTGAATACTTTAGACCTCAATCTGGTTGATCTGGTTGAACGTGGGAGGCACGAGATTTTTCACGTCGATCGGGTCTACTTTGATGGCCGGTCGGGCTTCCTTGACTTGCCTGTCCAAGTACCCTAAAAAACTTTATTTATACGCGTTTTCCTACGGAGTTTCCGTTCCAATTCCTCGCATCTCCTCACATCTCGCACATACGTCCTTTTAAATGCACTGACGTTAGAATTGAGCTAAAGTTTTTCCTTGTAAAGTTTTGTTCTGTCCCTACATCGTTGATTTGTACGTTGCCATACTTTCCAATTTCCGCCACGCACTCGTATGCCGATTCTTTCGTGATGATCATTTCGCACAGGCGCATACGCTTTTTTTAGGATTACTATCTTTAGTTTTCGCTTACCTCACTACGATATAAAGAACCCATTTTTATAGTTTTAGCAGTGATTTGCGCAGCAGACAGAATATACAGGTATTTCTCGGAGGAAGGACACTAATGCGCGCGACGAGAGGGAATCAATTTGCGCCGGCGGAGAGATCGCAATGTATCTCCGCCGAGGTTGCCATGATTGCTTGCTGATAGCCATCACAATGACATACGAACTGACTGGAGAGAGAGCTAGAGAAAATGAGCGTTCAAGGTGCATGGGGAAGGGCAGAAATTCAGGGTTTTTAGAACTTTTCCTTTTTCTCAGTCCTGAACTCGATCTATTTTATTTCAATTTTCAGGGCACTGCATTGGCCGGGTACACAAGATGAATTCGAACAGCCCCTTCAAGAACAGGCATGGTTTTAGTATTTTCAGATAACGTAGTTTTTAGGTCCCAAACAACAACAACCAGACACCGGAAATCCACAACTTCTTGGACGCCAATGGCCTCCTCCATGGCTTCAGACTTGTAAGGTTCCGTTTCTCACCTCATTGCCAGTAGGAGGTGCTCCTGGAAGCGATGCAGAAGTTCACACCCGAACAGCGCGCCGAAATCGACAGGATCGAGAATGCGGCACTCAATTTTCGGAATATGCGCGTGCAATACGGTAAAATTGGTCATTACTCGGAAAGTATTTCTCAGGGTTCACACAGTACGATGTTGGACTGGCCCTGGGACGGCGCTACGGTGGCGACTTCTCGCAAACCACGATTTCGCGATACGAAGCGTGCAACCTGACCTTCCAGAACATGCGCAAGCTGACGCCCATCTTTGACGTTTGGATCAACGAAGCGGCTGCGGCGATTAGAAACGGAACGACGGTCTCGGATATTATTGAGCATGGGGCTCAACTGGCAGATATTGTATGTTTCCTTCATAAAATGATAGGTTCAATCTAGGGTCCGCAGCCAGGGCCTTCTGTTAACATCAAGAAGCGAAAGAGGCGAGCCGTCCTCGACCTCACCCAGCAGAACGCCTTGGAATTGGCCTTTTGGTTTGTCTATAATTGACGCTAATAAGTTCCATAGTTGTAACAATAATCCGACGCGCGCCAAAACGCTCGAACTTGCTACCACCCATGGTTTGGACACCGAGGTGAGCTTTTCCGTTTTTGTGATTTATACTTTCTTAGGTGGTCAGGGTTTGGTTCTGCAATCGTCGACAGAAACGCCGCCGCGGCCCCGACGATACATTAGCAGATCGGGTTCCGTCTGATGAGGGCACCGCAGATTCTGAGGTGATAATTGCGATGCTTTGAACCTAGGAATCTCAGATGCACATCGCAAAGCCGGAGCAGGGATCTAACTTGATTGCCGGCTTCGACGAGGGCTCGAAAAAATATTACTATGCGCCGTGTGCCCCCATTGAAGAGCATCTTCCGAAAGGTATAACGTATTCCTTAATCCCTTAGTTATCTATTTTTTAGATGAGCCGATAACTGACCAGTTGGCCTATGTCCAAAATAGTTCGGCACCTTTTGATGCTGCTGGAGCTTATGATATGAAGGGTTTGGCGCTTTTTTTGCTGTTCTATCACCAATTTTCTAGGTGACGAAACGCTGTCTCTTAACAATCATGGCGTTGCTTTCTCCCGAATTTTTGGGTGAATCCTGTAAGTGCTATTTTCTGTATGTAATTTACAACTTGCTTTCAAGGTCAATCGGGCGTTGATGTTTTGGCAAGAAGATTGTTCGTTAAATCGTCTGTTATATTATTCAAAACGATAGAGTTACATGTGCGTGTGATTTTTCTTCATTCCGGGTATTTGTTAGGGTATGATCGTTAATAACTCGTTTTTTTTGCATCACTTACTAACATTCAGATAAAGATTTTTGAAACGGCGCCTTGCGTGGTGAGTACGTGAGAATACGCGGCTATCCAAGTCCAGATACCTATACATTAGTAGCCCTTGAGGGTTGAGCTTGAGATACATCAAGATGGAACGTGATAAGCCGGCGCTCGAGGAAACCGATCATGCGAAGCTCGTTCGGATGCAGTTCCTGGCGCATCGGGTGGCAGATCAGAAGAGAGCCTTGGTGAGTAATTCCCTTTCCTTCTAAATTAATTGACCTTGCGTTAATTCCCGTACTGATCGTTAATTGCCGGATTACGGTGTGTTTGCTAATGGGCTTACGCATCTGCTATACTCCTTATTTCAGGTTGAGTTGGATGAGCGAAGGCAGAAGATGCGCGAAGCCGAGCGTATCACCAGCCGATCAAAAGAAAAGAAGACTTACGTGTGCATGGGCGATTCTCTGTTTATCCAATGCCCAACACCGGTGATGATGGCGATATTAAAGGTAATTACGGGGCCACTCTAATGACCTTTTTTCCAGGATGACAGGAAAACAATTGAGAAGACGATCGAAGATACGCGGCAGTATATCAAGGAGCAGGTCGATGATCTCTTGAAATTAGAGGGGCGCGCCGACTTGTCTACGAGAGGCTTCAACCTGAAACCGATTAATGAAGAAGCGTAGTTGTTCTCGGTTATTGTTCCTGTCGCTCTCTTTCCTCTGTTTCTATTTTTTCAATCCTGCGATACTCTGAGATTCATATTGGTATTTTGACGGGTTACTTGATTGTTCTGATTCTGATAAACAATATATTATTCTGTTTTGATGACTTCCACCAGGGTTAATCACCCTTTGTCCTTGATTATTTCTGGTTCGTTTGTTCCCCCCTTTCGCGGCCAAGAGACTTCCATGGACACCCATACTCTGTGTGGTCGCCTCAACTTCTCTGATGATAGAAATTTAGCACACCCCGATTTCTACACCCATCGGGTTCCAGCAGCAAAATGCCAAAGTAAGTTTTTTGAGGTTATTGGATGGATAAACTGATTTTTTTAGGATTCGTACCCTTGGAGATCGTGCCAGTGACCAGGAGAGCGGAAGCGATGACGACGATCAGAACCGCCAAGGCTTTTACGTCGGCGGTTCGGAGCACAGGTAAAAGCGTCTTTCACCCCCATACTGAGAATTTAGCGGTCAACAAGTTCTGGGCCCCCCTGGACGTGGTGGACGCGATCGTGACTTCGCTGCCTCATTCTTCGATGCGGCGCAGCGGGCCGGCGCCGAGGCTGTGACAGGCGAGGATGCCGGGTAAATAGCGTTAATTTTTTCGACTGCCGTTTAGTCGAGATGAAGTCGGCGGGCCACAGATGCAGGAGGTTCGCATGTACATGTGGACTAATGGCTTTTCCATCGATGATGGTCCACTGCGCTCTTTTGAAGACCCGGCGTCGCGTACCTTTTTGGAGAACATTATGCAAGGGTAAGCGGCTATCTGATGAGTTTTTTTATAATTGTATTTTTAGCCGTATCCCAGCCGAGCTTCGCGATTTGCATCCCGGCAAGCAGGTTGATTTGCGCATGGAGCGGAAGACGGAAGAGTATCGCGCGCCGAAGCCGAAGCCGTTTGGGGTGGGATTTTGAGTCAATCTGCTAGCACCATTGGTGGATGTTTGCTAAAGATTGTTTTTGCAGGGAGCCGGACACCGTCTTGGAGCCGTGGTACCCGACGTCGTCGTTGCGACGAGCAGTGCGGCAAGCTCGTCTACTGCCAAACGTAGGCCACTGTTTTTTTTAGTAAATTAACAATCCGTTTAGCGGCAGAGGACCATACTGCTGCTGCCCAGGCTGAAGTCGGTTTGGAAGAGGGCGCTCCGATCTCACAGGTACCTTCTGATGAATCGAATGAGTCTGTTTTTTAGATCCAAGCCCGCCTCCCGAGTGGCAACCGCGTTGTCGGACGCTTCAACCACACCCACACCGTCGGCACAGTCCGCACCTTCCTCGTCAGGTATCATTGGATTTTTGTGCTTTTTAGCATCGGTCTTTAGCGCCGTCCCGGAATTGGCCTATTCTCCATTCCAGCTGATGACCACTTTCCCGAACAAGGTATGTTGTCTTTTGAAATTAGCAATCATCTCATCATCTTTTCAATCATCAAAAATCATCTTTTATTTTAGGTTATTGAGGACGAAACGTTGACTCTCAAGGATGCGGGTCTCATCAACGCGGTCGTCGTCGTCAAGAATATTGCCTAACTTGCCCTCAACGCAAGCATTATTAAAAGCACCATAATTTATTTATCTCGACATTCGGTTTTGTGATGCGCGTTATGAAGCTTTTTATGGACATTCTGGTTCTTTTGAACGTGGTGATGAAAACGAATAAATCGTATAAGTTATATTTTTTTGGTGATTCGTTCGGTGTTCGAGCTGTCACATACCATACTTTGAAGCATTGAGCCGCTGCTGAATCTAAATTCTCCTTTAGATGCCGACCCTCAAACAATGGTTGGGCTTCGATAAATTTGAAAAAGCTGCGAAGATCATCAAGGAAGTGGGAGGCCTAAAGGCGGCAATCAAGCAGCGCTACATGTGAGTTTTTCTTGCTGTGGAACAATTGCGTTTAGTATGGACCAGACTCGCGTTGGTACGCTCGTGGGCCAGGATAAATTCGGCAACAAGTATTTCGAAGACAACTCTTATTTTATGCCGCGTAACCGCTGGGTAACTATTGTATTTTTATCAACAAAAAAAAAATTTTTAAATTTTTAAAAAAAATTTTTTTAAAATAATTTAATAAAAAAAAAAAAAAAAAAAAATTTTTTTTAAATATTAAAAAATTAAAAAAAAAAAAAAATTTTAATTAAAAATAAAAAAAAAAAAAAAAAAAAAAAAAAAAAAAAAAAAAAAAAAAAAAAATAAAAAAAAAAAAAAAAAAAAAAAAAAAACAAAAAAATTCCTATAAAAAAAAAAAAAAAAAAAAAAAAAAAAAAAAAAAAAAAAAAAAAAAAAAAAAATATTCCGTTAGGTCGTCTACCCAGAGCGCGTATGGCTCGACTACGACGCCTCGCAGGTCCCCCCGGAATGGTATGGATAGACTGTTCAATTCATATCCTTTTTTGCATAGGCATCGTTGGCTGCATCACATCGGAGATGAAACGCCGACGGACAAGCCGCCCCAGAACGAGAAATGGGTGCTGGCCCATCGGGAGAACACCTCGATTTACACGTACGTGGATTCACCATTTGACCGGAGCATTCTTGTTCTTTACAGGGGAGAGAAGTATGTGCCCTATTCGACGACGAGGACGAAGATCCAGGGCTGGACCCCCGGCAAGAAACCCGAGGAATGAACCGGGTCGCCACTCATCTTAACTAGCGTTCAACATGTAATTAATTAGTCTCTCCAGTAGCCGGGGAAGCGAACAAGGGCGCCTTTGACTTTCCGGTTCATTGTCGATTTTTTTTCTGTACGACTCGAGAATTCTATGTAAGTTAAGGCTCAATAAACGGTTAGGCGTGCGAGTAACAGTGGATCTATTTATTCAAACCACACCAAAACCACGAATAAGGGTGACAGTAACGCATTGAAATATCTTTTCAATGAAATGTATGATTTAGGTAAGCAGTATTTGTAGCGTAATACGAATTAATGGAGCCGCTCGCCAGGGGATCACTTTTCCTCGGTGCGGACTTCCGGGCTGGACGCGGCGGGTTCCGACGGAGGCTGAGGCGATGGTTTGGCTGGCGAAGGCGATTCAACAGGCGGTGGCGGCGATGGGCATGCTGAATAACAGTGATACGTTCAGAAGCGATTCATAGCCGGAAATAGCCGAGTTCTTACCAATATCTGGGGCCACAGCTTTCATCTTTACTTCTTCCTCGGTCTGGCGCTTCTGCGTGAATGCGTCGTAGGCTTCCTTGAACTTTTTGAAAGCCTGTAGATGATTGATTTGGTACTGCGCGTTTTGCACCCACATCTTCAAATGACGGCTTCATGATGCCGACCTCCTTGCAATAGTTGACGATGGCCATGGCCAGGTAGACGTACTGAGCATCCGTTTGCACGGATTGGGCTCGCATTGCTGAAAATGGAAGTTGCTTGGTACCGATGAATTTTTTCACCTCGCAGCTGCTTGATGAGGGTCGGCATTTTCACGGTTTCAGCGGCTACCGATCGCTGGAGCAGCAGCTCGGTGGCAACGAAGGCGCCGGTACGTCCTGAGTGAACGGCTCGATGCAGCTACAGTCGTTGCTACCAATGCCGGCCGAACAATGGACAACGCTGGGGAAGCGCGAGCTGCGAGCCAGGCGCAGCAGCCGGAAGATGGCGAGCAGCGACACGGGCACCGAGCGGTCGGGCCTGGATTGGGAATTGTTGGGATTTTTAGACTAAAGCAAGGCTACCACTCCATCCACTGATAATGTTTCAGGGTGGCGATCGCTTTGCCGGCCTCCTCGATGTCGAGCTGGGTGATGATGATGCGCTTGTCGGACGAGTCGACGCTGGCGCAGATGACGGTGTAGCCCGAAATTAGATTGGTTTGAAGGGTTTCTCATTTCTGAGAGTGTAGCCCAAAATCGGATCGGTGTGAGATTCAATTCCTCTCGGCTTAAGTGCAGTTTACCCCCCCCCCCAGCCACAACTTTTCAGCCATACGTCCTATTAATGCGCCGAGTATCTCAAAATGTTCCCCGTGGTCGAATTCCTATAAAAAAGTTGTTTTCTTACATCAAAAATTGTTAGAAAAATTTTTATATCAATTATAAGTCTGGGTTTTCTTTAGTTAATTTTTGCTGTTCCAAAGTGAGTTTTCGTATCTCGGCTATCTTTAGTCGTACAGAGCTGTCAATAGTACCAAAATGTAGCTCTTGCTCTGGAGAATAAGCCTACAGTACGTTTGAGCCGAAAAAAACTAGTGGAAAATAAAAATATTTGAGTTTTAGACTCCTAGTACATCGAAGCATAGCGGCTTAATCTTTTCAACTTTAAAAATCTTGTAAAAAATTTTTTAGCAATTTTCGCCGCAAGAAAACAACTTTTCTCTGGTAATTCGACCACGGCGAACATTTTGAGATACTCGGCGCATTAATAGGACGTATGGCTGAAAAGTTAGGTGGGGGTAAATACTCTAACCTTCCTCTCACCTCCATAAGTTGTCTGCGTGCCCGGCTTGATCGGCCAGTACTGCTCGCACTTCTTTTTGCCCAGCTCTTCCACCTGGATTGGGGCGTATTCCTTTTCTCCTAATTTGGACTTTGCAATATTATATTTTTCAAGGTATAATGCTGTGATTTGCGACCTTGCACAACATAAAGATGCTCCCGACGCGCTCCTGCACGATCATCCTCCAGAAGTCGACACAAGTGCTGGCGAGCGGGCCCTGGGTGCAGATGAATGTGTTCGTCAGCGGATCTCCTCTAGACAACCGCCGTTTTTCATGGGTTGTTCAAATCCCACTTGACATAATTGGCGTGGATGTAGTCGCCCTTGTCCTTGTCTTTATCTTTGTCCTTATCCTTGTCATTTTCTTTGCTGCGGAGGACGACCCGGGTCTCGTCCAGGCAGATCACGTCTAGAATCAGAAACGCCATTGAAAAGTTGTCGAATCCGCTGCCTCGATATCGGTTCTTCGCCGCGTTCTGGTCGAAGGCGTTGTGCGTGAGGTCGGGCGGCTTGTAGCCCTTGACTTCGGCGGTGAACTCCTGAGATCAAGCGGGGTTGGAATTTGGGTGAGCGCGAACCTTGAGCAGCCCATCTACGCCGATCACCAGCACCTCGGCGATGAAACGGTTGAAGCGCTCCTTTTGCTCCTCGGACGGGTGCTCGATTTCTAGAATTTCGAGTGCTCTTTGCTAATCTAGGGAACGATTTACCAATTCTTTTCTATTCTAGAAAACGATTCTAGATATTTCTATGTAAGAAAACGAGACCAAATCTCTAAAAATTATTTTTCTAATGCAGAAAACGGTTTGAGATATCTTTTTCTATCCCAGAAAACGATTCCCCAATTTCTCGAAACTGCATCCAGTTTCAGAGACTTCCGGGTGATTCCCACCATCAGCGCGCCTCTTCCTTTCCTGCGCTACCTTGCCCGAACGATCGATCTAGAAATGTTGCCGTCATCACTTTCTTTTAGCAACCACAAACCCCGAGCCTCTTTTTCGCAGAGAAATTCTCCTTCCCAAGCGTCTCCTTCTCTAAAAATGAGGGTTTTAAATCAGCGCGACGGGCCCACTTTTGCGGCGGCCACTGACGCCGGCCCCGCGCCCGCTCACGCCCGCGTCCACGTCGGTCGTCTTGGTCCGTTTGAGAGTGGTGGCCGCCGGCGGCGAGGTGGTCGGCGGCTCCGGCATTTCAAATGGGTGTAAAATGCCCAGGATTTGCGGTTTTTCAGTGTGGAATGACAGTTAAATGCAGGCAAATTTGTGATGTTAATTTTGTATGCTGACGATGGGATTTTCGATGCTACCGTTTTAGTCTAGGCAAATTTTAGCGGTGGCACTGTAAGACTTTAGGCGTAAATAATCAAATTTAGGTAATTTCCGTAGCATTTCACACTTTTTTAATGACTAAGCTCTTTGAATAAATTCCAAAAGTTTCTAAAATGTTGACTTTTCCGTCAAAAGTGTGAAAAATGGCCCAACTTTGCAAGAATTTCGCGTTTTACGGGATTCTAAAGAATTTTTCGGATGTTGTTTTCGGAAGTTAATAAAACACTAGAAGGATAGTTTAGGCCGGTATCGACTTATCAAAAACAGTTTGCATGGCTATGTTTGTATGAAAAATGGCCAAAACTTTGCAAGATCTTGGTTTTATTAAGATCTTCTTTCGATGATCAACAACTTCAGATGGGACCGGACCAATCAGCCGCCCTCACCAGTCCGCTAATCTGGGCTTGCCGGGATTGTGGCGCTCAAGCCGAGGTCAGCTAAATATAAAATTTGGCGCGGGCATGTAGTCGCTGAACAGCAAGCCGGGCGATCATCCGGATATCCGACGTTTAGAAATAAAGGGGAGACGCCCACGGAAATCCCCCCTCAGCTCCTTGTTTGCCACCGCTTCGCTATTTTTGAGGGAGGGAAATTGTGGGGTTGTGTCGATTGGAGGGATTGCCCGGAATCGGCCGCCCGTTTAGTATCTAAAAATTAAAGGTATTTTTGGGATCAGTGTGGTTAGAGGAGTGAAAATTAGGGGGTTGAATTTTTGGAATAGTTTATCGCGTAAGAGATTTAAGCATTTTTAACTTTGGAGATTCGTGCTTCATCTATAAATAGATTTTATAGATTTTATTTTTTTATATATTCACCCCCCCCCCGTTAACGGAACAGAACCGTACTTCCAACGAACCGATTTTTTTTCTACCGCTCATCGACCAACCGGAGTAAACCGAGCGCTGGTCCCAAAATGGTCACAAAACAACTGTCAGCGCCTCCCCCCCCCGCAGCACAGCTGATAACTCCCAGCGGCCGGCCCCGGCTGTTTTTCGGGCTTATCGTCCTTCGATTTGGCCGCGTTTTTTCAGCCGGGCAGCCCGAGCATTTTTCCCGGGGGGGGCAGCCCGCTCGGCTGCCCGGGAATAACAACTCGGCGGTGGTCACATGCGGCCGATGGGGAGGGAGAGAGTGGCCGAGGAGGAGGGGGCAGAGATGGAGAAAGAGGTGGACGTGTGGCGGTGAAGGCCTTCGAGGCCTCGGCCGATGGGAAGGGGGGAAGCTGTTTATAGGGCAGCTGAAGGGGGAGCAGAACACGGCGAAGAAGCCGGAGAAGCTTCTGGAAGTTGGAGTGGGGTGGAATGGGGGGAATATGATACGCAGATGTATGAATTTCGGCAATGCTACTTCTCTCTCGAAAAAAATACGAAGCTCCGGCGTAGGCTTAGACTTGGGCTTAAGCTTGTAATTTGGCCTATGGTAATTTTTGGGCTTCGTCTTGAGCTTAGACTTACCGTCATCTTTCCCTAAAGCTTTGGCTTAGTCTTAGCTTATGCTTAGGCTTAGGCTAGGCTTAGGCTTAGACTTTGGGTGTATTGGACTTTGTCTTGAGCAAAGGCTTGTATCACTTATCTCGCTTATCATAGACGTAAGTTCGGGCTTGATTGACTTGAGCTTACGCTAGGCTAGGCTTGGCTTAGAAGCTTGGACTTTTCGCTTGCTTTTCGCGTTTTCCAGCCATCACCCCTACACCCATATTTTCATAGCGTAATCGGTTGTACCCAGAGAACGTCTCTGAAGTGCAAACACTTGAAATACATTTTCAAAAGTTCATCCCCCATTTGAATTTCGTCAATTCTTTGTGTGTAGGAAAGTGCTCGCACTAGCGGCTAGCCTGATGAAATTTTAGGGGATGTCAACAACCCTCGCCACCCCACACATTCAGAGACTTTTTGGCGACGGGCCTGCAACCACCCGGGTCGACCCCGTTTTGTAGCGTCACGTGGGAGTGGGGGAGAGAGAGAGAGAGAGAGAGAGAGAGAGAGAGAGAGAGAGAGAAAGGCTTTCACGATCAGATAGCGCCCGCTCAGCAACACAGAGATCAGAAAAGGGGCCCCGGATCGGTTTGCTGATGTCGTAAAATTACTGGTGATATCTGGGTACCTGTAATTTCTGTAGGGTATCAGCTTTTTTACACTTTTTTAACGTTTAACCGTAGCCGGAGTTTTTTGTTTTAAATTTCTACATGATTTTTAGGCGCTTAAATTGTGTATTACACTTTCTAGAATTTACTTAATCACGGTTTAAACATTTTCAGGCTCTCCAAGCCGTCCTAAAACCAAAAATCCATGACTTCCCTGTCCCTTCAAAACAGACTTATTCAAATTTCAACAAAATATTTGGGTTTTTAAGCCATCACATTTCCCCGAAAGCAAAATTTCAGGCTTGCCAGGCTTCGGAAAACCAAAATCCATGCCTTCCCTGCCCCTTTAAAAGCGCTTTTCAAATGCCAACAAAATATTTGAATTTTTAGTCTATGACGCTTCATCTAAAAAATTCGGGCTCCCCAGCCGTCTTAAACCGGATTTTTCGACGTCCCAGAGGGACCACTTTTTTCTTACCCCTTCATTAGCCGTTCACCTGGTTACCGTAACCCCCCATGGAGAGATCAGGGGTTCCGGGTGGGCAGCCCCGGGGCCCTGGCCCACCTAATAGGGCCCACCAGGGAGGGGGCCCAGCGAGGGGGCTGTTTCTCATTTTCTCAGCGCCTTTTTCGCGCTCGAACGGAACGGCGCGGGGAGGGGGGGGGGGTGGGCCAAAAAAAGCAAGAGGAGGGCGCAGGCAGCAGCGGAGCGGGCCGAACGGGGCGTAAACACGGTCGGCCACCACGGGCGCGTCGCGGTCGGCCATTCGATGCCGCAGCCCCCTCCTGCTGCACACACTTTTTTCGGTATTTGTGTGTGTATGTGTGTGCGCTGGAAGGGCCGAGGCTGGGGGTCGCCGCATGGGGTTGCAGGAATGACCACCGGGAAAATTGGAGGGGACCTGAAGGTTTTCGGAAAAATAAAGAGCTACGGTTCTGGCTCGTTAGCGGGGGAGTTAAGGTTAACCGCGTGCCCGTGGATTCGGGCAGACCAGCAGTGTTTCTTTCGGAAATGTGAAGACGAAGACCTGAGCCTGTGTAAAAAATTGCAAAAATACTACAGTCAATGTTTTTGCCGAGTAACCCCGACAATTTGACAGACGCAACAGTACTATCGACGCCCAGGTTGGCAGCTGTCAGCACTGGTCACTTTTTAGCCGGCGAGAGAGAGAGAGGGGGGGGGGAGAGAAAGAGAGAGAGAGAGAGAGAGAGAGAGAGAGAGAGAGGGAGAGGGAGAGAGAGAGAGACCGATAGCGATTAGCCGGATGATGCAAGTGGCGTAGCCCCGGGATAGTATCGCCGTGTACTGGCGTGCCATGGGTACGATACGCTACGCTACGATACGTCGGGATGACCAAAGTGCCTCCTGGAATAAATGGCTGGCAATATAATAATTTCAAAAATGCTAAAGTGTCATTTCAAAAGCGTCACTAACAAATTCTAAGCTGTTATTTTTTTAGTGGAAAAGCCCGGACCCTGAAAAAAATGCGAAAACAAACATTGGCGTTTTGTTAAAAAAAACGAAAAACATCTAAAACAAAACTGAGGCTGGCAAACCGACTAGAAAACGAATTTCCCGCTCCCTAAAATGAACCAAGCCAAAACCGAAAGTCCCATTTTAAGGCACCTAGAAAACAAATTTTCCATTCCTAAATCCCATTAAAAAGCCGACTTCCCGGTCCCTTTAAATCCGAATTTCCGCTTCAAGACTTTCGATTCAAGCGTCAATTGTACATCCGCGTACCCTTTATGAAACCTCTTGTCGATCCAAGTGACGTGCTCACCCCCCATTTCATCGTCGCTACAGTCCTAGCCCCTGCCCACAGCTGGCTTCTTTTCAAAAGGCTCGGCCTCTTCGAGAAGGTTCTCCCCCTCTAACCGTCTCCTCTCTACACAAAACACCCGTTCTCTCCCCTTTTTTAGGAGGATACCTCGTGGTCAGGGGGTCACACACACATACACACAAAAGGGGGGCGTGGCCATCGGGGGGTGGGGGCACGTGAGGGGGGGATACCCCGGGATGGCATATAAGGGCCCCGGGGCCCTCTAAAGGCTCAGAGCCACCCCACCATCTACACCTCGGTTCTGACAATTCTATAACACCAACACTACAGCCGCACAGGTCAGTGTGTTTGAGTTTTGTTCGAGAAAGGCGCGTGAAACTATGTGAAAAATGTGGATTTTGGTTTGGAAATGTGCAAATTGGTGAAATATAGCGTCTATGGCGTAAAATAGAGGGGTACTCAGGAGTAAAACGTAGCCGAGCATTAGAAACGACGCGGTATTCTAGACGTTTTATTAATCTGCGCTTGGAAAAAATGATTTTAGCAGTTTAACGCATGGTTTATACTATAAAAAAGCAATATCAAACCTTTTTGAATTTCATTTTCAAGGTTTAGATAGATTATTAACGCCTCTATAAGTTAACTTTAATTCTTTCCTTGCAAAACTGACGAAAAATGACTTTGAAAAAGGTTTTGCGAACAGCCCAGCCGGTTACGACATGTAATTCTGATCCCCAGTGTCGATAGTACACCCTCGTTCATCCTCAACTTTTTGATTGACGAGCAAAATTGCGCTAATATAAAATCTTTATTTTTTTGTATATTTCCACTCCCTGCTTTGCAGATGCCGTCGGCGGCGGAAGAGCTAGCATACGAGTTGGAGCACGGCTCGGCCGAGATCAAGAGCTCCGGAAAGGGGCGCTCCAAGCAGGAGCGGGTAGGCAACAAGCTCGCCGACCCGAACTCTGGCAACCGGATGCTGGTGAACGTGGCCCGGAATGGGCACGAGAAGCGGAAGGCGAAATGAGTTGAGGTACGGTGGTTTTTGGGTGCTTTTTAAAGGTCAGGTCACGCGTGAAAATGTTACAAAAATATATGTTTTTCGCCTTTTGGACCATTCTAAAGTTTTTAAATAATTTTTTGTACTTAAAATAGAACTCAATGTTACAATAAACTATGAAAATGCTATAATGACATTACTATAAATATCTGGGAGACACGCAAAAAATGATAATTTTTTCAGTCCCCGCCGTCGTACGTGTTGAGCGAAGCCAACAACCCAACCTGCTAGCACCCGAAAAAACTTGCGGCGCGGCCAGTTTTGCCGGTCGGCCAGGGTTGCGCGGCGGGACCCCGAAAAGGACCTACCGTAGCCCCCTCCCGGCCTCCAATCCTCTACCGTATCCGCCACATCTCGACAACCGTAGGGCTCTCCCCCACATCTAAACAATTTTTCTCCAACCCCCCACACCCACTCTATAATTGACCCCCAGCAGAAGCAAAGGAAACGCGTACAAAATTCAATTTTTTATATTTTTCTACCGTAATCCCGTTAAAATGGCAAAAGCTCTCTTTTTTTGTTCCACGAGCCGAAAATGTTGAAAGCCAAGAAAAGCTGTGTCTGTGTGCGTGTTTATTGTTTTGGTTTTTTGCTTGCATTTAATCCTGTATTTGTACGAGTGGGCGGGCCGTGTTTTGGAAAGTTGCGGAAGTTTTTTATTATTTTGGATTTTAGGAAATTAAAAAAATAACCCAGCACTTCTAAAACGCTAAAAAGCGCGTTCCGCCCGCTCCGCTGCGCTCCCTGTGTATATCCAAATCGCGTCGCCAACTCTCTGGAAAAAGAGCGCGACATCTCGGGCCTTGGCAGACGGCCAAAAAAAATGTTTTATGTTGTGTACGTGTGAAAAGAACTCCAGTGTCGAAACCTCTCCGTGTACATAGGAATGTTTCGTATGGTAGCCACCACTCTTCTCCCTACTATCTTTGTAAAGACGCTAGTCAACTATCTTTTTTTTGAAGTATACCCTTAAGGTTACTTGATTTTTTTTGTTTAATTTTGCTGGTTAAAACTTGTTTTTTTTTCGTTTTCCCCGATCTGTTTTTCTTTCTTTTTTTAAGAGCGAAAACCCGCTGCCACAGCCCGAGTCCACATACTCTCTTTGTTGAAGAGCCCCCAGTGCTAGTGAGTCGCCCGGCCGCCGTTTCTTTCTAGCTAAAAACCACCCCTGGGAATCGATTACCTTTTAATTTTCAATTTTTCCAATTTTCTATACCAAAATTCGTCTATCCCTTTTGTATTTTCCATCGGGCCAAGCCCACGAGCTGGGCAAATACCTTTTAGCCCCCCACCCCGGCTCCACCGCTCCCCAAAAAATCACCGGCAAACAAAACCCCCCAAAAAATGCCCCCAAAAAACGCCTTTCAGAAAAACCCCGAATCGACCAAAAAACCCCCAAAACCCTCGAAAAACACGAGTCGATTCGGTGCCCCTCAAAAAAATTAACGCTGGGCCTTGATTGACATAACCTCCCAATGAAAAACCCAGTCAACAAAAAAACTCATAAAATTTCAAAACATGCCAAAAACCAAAAAAAACCATAAAACCCCCAAAAATCCCGGGCCGAGCTAATGAAAAATTTGCTAAAAAAATCCTCGGCCCGGCCAAAAAAATCGAGCTGGCAAATCAATTTTCGCCCCCCATTCCAACCGCAAAAAAGCCAGCCTAAAAAATTTTGGATTTCAAAAAATCCTAAAAATAAAAAATATTTGAAAATCCAGACTGAGCTAATAAAAAATTTACTAAAAAACCCTCAGTCTGGCCAAAAAAAAAAGATGGGCTCTAAAAATCTCTAAAAAAACAACTAAAAAGCCCCAATATTTTTGAAACGGGTCGAATTTCCCGTAAAAAAACAATAAAACCTGGATCTTCTTACTAAAAAAACCCCCAAAAAATCGATCCAGCCAAAAAATCCTAAAATTCATAAAAATAAAAAAATCAATAAAATAAAAAGCCAATAACCCTCAAAACATGCCCCGAAAAGCCACGAAAAAACAACACCAACTTCTGGGCCAATTTTCGCCAAACATCAACCCCTCAAAAATTCCCAAGATTTGCCCAGTTTTTCCAGAAAAAAATCTAAAAACCCAAAAAAAATCACGGGGCCCTTCTATCATCAAAGCCACAAAACGCCGGACTTATCAAAAAAATTAAAATGCGGTGGAGCCGAATAAAAAATTGCCCTCATTGATGCCCAGCCTAAAAATTAAGAAATTTTCGTTTTAGATCATCTTAAAAATCGATTTCCGGGGTTCTTTTGTAAAATTTAAGCGCGTGCCGGCGCGACAAAACCCACTCACGCGGTACTACGACCTCTCGAATCCCAAACAAAATAGTCTCCCCGGCAAATCTGGGGCCTAAAGTGGCGGAAAGTATTTTTAAAACTTACTGTTCTCAACTTTTCGGCCAGTTTGTGCCTCGGATTGCCGCGGAATTATTTTACTCACGGATCGTTGCTGTATACAATTGAGCTATTTTACTCGTTGATGTGCTTGGCTTAGTGGAATAAAGTTTTTTTTGTTTATAAAGGAAAAAGACACTTTATCAAAAACTCTCGAATCTACTAGACGAACTACAACAAATTACACTACAGAGTAATACTATCGACTTACACTGCGTTCATAACGTACTATCGATATTCTGAAAAATCTTTTTCAACTTTAATTTATTTATGGTTTCAAATTTAGATTTTATTTAGATTAATTCTTTGAAAATCTATTTTAATAATTTGAACAAAATTTAGTCGCCTAAAAGACCGGAACCATTCGCTCGATCTGCTTCTGCATCACTTTTGGTCGAGGTGATTTACGGCAGGAACAAAGTTCGTTTTTTACTTATCCTTCGGCGTTAAATCTGGTATTTGAATCCAAAAGTAATTATTTTCCTGCGCAAATCATCGAGAAAAGGCTATTCTTTTTCCTATTGTTTTCTCCCGCACTCGCATGGAGGCGGAATCGCCCGCCGACGGCTTCGACTTCTTGAACTTTCTGGATCGGCTACTTTCCGGTGCTCCGCACCCGTTTGGCGGATATTTTCAGGTCATTTCAGTGAACGACGTCACCCAGGCCTCGCTGACACGGTGCGTGAGAGAGGGCGAGATCGAGGTCGTGATCGCGGCATGCCGAAAAATCGTGATGGGCCAACCGGCGTTTCTGCAGCTGGACCCGCCTATTAATGTAGGGTATTATACTAGAAAATGTAAAAAGGTTTTTCAGGAAAACCTTTATATGCATTTAGATTTGCGGCGACTTACATGGGCAGTACGTGGACCTGTTGCGCGTCTTCAACCGCTGCCACTACCCGCAGAGCACAAACTACCTCTTCCTCGGCGATTATGTCGACCGGTTAAATTATTAAGGGTTATTGTATTGTCGATTTTTAGCGGCAAGCAGCAGCTGGAGACGATCTGCTTGTTGATGGTGTACAAGATCAAGTTCCCGGATTCGTTCTTCTTTTTGAGGGGAAACCATGAGAGCCGCTCAATCAATAAGGTACCATTTGGCCTTTTGCGTTTATTTAGAATTTTTTCTAATTCGATATTACTTCTAATATAACTAAGTTTTACTAAAAACTATTAAAATCCTTCCTATTAGGTTCCTAGGCATAAATCAACGTATAGAAAAAAAAATAGATCCGTCCTTGGAAAGACGAAAGAACTCCTACTTTTTTTCTTGTAGGTCTACGGTTTCTACGACGAGTGCAAGCGGCGCTACTCGCTACGTTTATGGGAATCTTTTCAGGTATTTACCATTATACCCATGGAATTTTCCTATTTCTAGACCCTCTTCAACTCGATGCCCTTCTGCGCGCTCGTCGGCGGCCGCATCTTCTGCATGCACGGGGGGTTGTCGCCCGATTTGCTCAACTGGGATCAGCTGCACGTAGCGTCGTCGCGCGAGGGATACTGTAAAATGGGTGCACTTTAGATTAGCCGCCCGGTGGACCCGCCGAACCGTTGTCTGCACACGGTGCGTAGGGAGAGCTTTTCTTTTTCGCGGTTCTTTCGCATTATCGGGGGGGCACCTTTTTTAGTATCCAATTTCATTACAGGATCTGCTGTGGGCTGACCCAGAGCCGGGGGTGAACGGCTGGGCCGAGAATACGCGCGGCGTCTCCTTCGTCTTCGGCGAGAATGTCGTCCACGACTTTTGCGCCCGAATGGATGTTGATCTGATTGCGAGGTGCGTGCAAACGATCTGATCCTCTAGTTATATAATCTTAAAATTCGACCTTCAGAGGACACCAAGTCGTCCAGGACGGCTACGAGTTCTTCGCCGACCGCAAGCTGGTCACCATCTTTTCGGCGTCGAGGTAACATTCAACAATTGCCCGAAAAAAACAATGAAAACTTAGCTACTGCGGCGAGTTCGACAACAACGGCGCGGTGATGGTGGTGAACCGGCAGCTCGAGTGCGCCTTTGAGGTGTTGCGCAGCAGCCGGAAGATGATCAAGGTCGCTTTTCGCGCTCCTCGTTCAGTTAAAAATTTAAAATCTACCTACGAGTTTTTGCAGATTCGCTCGGGCAGACGCAAGGGCCAGAAGAGATGAGCGGCTCGCCCAGTTCAACGAATTCGATTAATTTACAAACACTATTATCGCACATGTACTAACCTTTGCAATACCGTGAACGAATAAATGGCTTACAGTTTTACGGCGAGGTTTTTTGCGTTTTACGATAGTCTGCTAGCGCTAAAAAATCTTGATGAAAAGTGTTGATTGAATTGAATTGAAAGTTGAATTCTGTTCTGATAAAAAAGGAAAAGAGAATAAAGATTTTCTAGTGAAATTTTGCCTTTTAGATTTTTAAATATCTTTGTTTCTTTTTCGAAGGTATTTGAAAACATGAGTACTTTAATATAGAACGTACGCGAGAAAAAACATTTTTAGCGATACGATCACAATAACCAATTTTTATTCCAGTTATTAAAGATATACTGTTTTTACATTTGATTAGTCTCGCTTAAATTGGCTGTTTCTTTCGTACTACCGCGTATTAAAATTTTCAAAGCCTTCAAAAACGATTTTAGGCGCCTTGGTGACTTTGAAGGGCGACCGGGACGCCCGATTATGCAAAGTGTGGCCCCCCGATGGATGATGGGAAGGTGTATTCATCCCTCGACTACTATCGCGCGCCGTGAATGCGAAGAGAAGGTGTGTTCTTCTTATATTTCTCTTGCCAGCTCGCCCCTCGCCTTCCTGGATCGACCTTGCAATCCCTAGAGGGCTAGAGATATCCCCTTCCCTTTAGCCATCCCCCTCTGGTGCTGAATATGTATCATTTTAGTCCGGACGCGCCCACGCACGCACACCTGCGGCTAGCTATAGCTTTATTTTTGTGTCAAAACGTGCTCAAGTCGCATTTGTTTTCCGAAATACCGGTAAAATGCAAAATTTCAACCGAAATTCTAAAAAGTACTAAAACTACTAAAAAGAATCTTTAAACGCTATTTCAAAATTTGTAAATTGAAACGGGGCGTTTATAATGATACTTAACGAATTTATGAAGACCATAATTGTCGTCAAGCCTAAGATTTTCACGGTTTTTACGGTAAACCAAAATGTTCCCCAAACAGCGGATGTGAAAAAACAAGGATTTGACATTGTGATCTGATGCGTCTGGGCTTTTCCCCCCAATTTTATCTTCCATATGGCTTTTTATGCCATTTTTGGGTCTAGAAAATTTATGAGCGTTTTTTTATGTAATTATAGGCGTAAAACTATCTAAAAGGTTACAAATTTTAAAAATGCGAAAGTTATTCGAATTTAGGCCACTTTTAACTTTAGCTTTTCCAATATTTTTGTACCTTTTTCGCATAAAAATTGTAGTTTTTTTGTTTAGTAATCGTGTAATGTATCCTGCAAATCTGTATCCCTTACTTTCCTGATAGTCCACTATCCCATCTGCCACTTTGCCCCGATAAAAACAACAACTCTACCCCGGGCCGGGATTCCGCCTGAACACCTCGGTGGTCTCCGTTCTTCACGAAATGTTGTTAGGGCCGGATGGATGGATGGCTGTGGATTGGAATGGAATGGAATGGATGGACAGTGGAAAGAGAAGAAAATGCCCGATTTCTTTGTCTCGCCCCCCGGGGGCAATCCGTTGTGAGATTTGCATCGGGATCTCCAGCTGGTTCTACACCCCCGCCATTTATCGTCCCATTTCGACGCGCATTTTCCACGTCATCTTTTAGATCTATTTTCTATTAGCCATATACCCTTTTTTGGATCTTGGTATTTTTTCACAAAAAAAAATTGGAACGTTTTACGTTTAGGAAGCGTAAAAACTGTAAGAAAGGTACTGGTCTGTTAGCAGGGGGAGCCTAATTTTTTCCACCTATTTATTACATATCTAATGTATTTTGTAGTGTTTTAGTAGTTTTTAATTGCTAGAAAGTTATAAAACAATCTTAAACATTTTTTGTTTTATGTTTCGTTATTATAGGGCCGTACGGATATACACGGAAAAGTCCGTTTCCCCCTGCTAAACCGCCCCCCGCTAACAGACCAGTACCAACTTATCTTCAAATTTTTAAATTTCCTAAGAAACTTTCTTCAGTTTAACCGCGTTAATTTCGTTGCCTTTTTTTGTAAAATCAAGCAGCGAAAGGGTAAAGTGGACGCTTGTGATGAATCTGGTTACACGAACCCATCCACCTACCCCCCTCGATATTCCGTGTGGCTCCTCGACACGGCTCTCCCCACCGGGCTGTCAAGGGTAATTGCGTCCGTTTTGAGGGAAACGTCCGCTGTGTGACAAGTGCCCGAAGGCCATAATTAGGAGGCATCCCTGTCTCGTGTCATGGTTCCGTACCCCACCGGGATTATTCCATCTCCTTTTAGCTTTTCAGAGAGGATTCTGCTTTAATTCTTGATTTTAAAAATGTTACATTTCCGCTGTTCGAAACATAAAAATTATATATTTTTTCGTTAAAAGTACCAAATACGATTTTCTATCAAAAATTTAACAATTTTTACGTTTTCGAGATATATTTTCCACTTGAATTAAGCTTTTTGATCAAAAACGCTAAGAAAATACTGGGGGGCAAGGCATTTTGGGCTGTTAGGGGAAAAACTATGGCCGCAAAATTCACAGGAAATGCAAGTGAAGTCCTAGGCTTTCGCGTGAAAAAAGACACCAACCCCCCATTGAGGACCACCCATTGGATAGCACTTCGCACAAAGCTGCTGCTCCCCTTTTTTTGCCAGAGCGACAAAGCTAGATTTAGTGCCCAGAGAATTAGACAGCAAAAGAAGAGCCCCGTCCATCAGTTCTTCAGAGAATGAAGTCGTCTACCCCCGAAAAGGGGCCGTCGGCTAGGGATCAAGAAAAAGGCGGAGGGGTCGGGATCGATGTGGAGGGTAGAAGAGAGAAGGAGCCGAGCCTCCTCCTCTTCTGAAGCCCAACCCACAGCCCCCGCACATTCTATTACGCGCCGAAAAAGACTATAGCTAGAGTCCGCGGTGACACCGGAGACGTTATACTTTTCCGGTACTGGACTGTTAGCGGGGGAGTGGTTTTTCGCGCTATACAATATTTTTACCAGTTCTTGGTTCTTAAATACTTCACCATTTTAAAAAATTTGATAAACATAAGTATTGCTGTTTCTGTCATTTTTTAACATTCCAAAAGGTCAACCATTTTCGAAGAGTTTTTATACATTCTTTACCTTTAAAATTCCCCAAAAAGCTGTTTAAATTGCATTTTTTTTCATTCTGGGACCTTACGGGCAAAATAAGCCACGGTTAGACCCCCGTTAACAGTCCAGTACCTACTTTTCCAGCGCTTTATCGTCGTCTATAGATACCTCTCGAAAATCTTTTCGTATATCCGATTAATTAAAGCTGCTTTTGTTTGTAATCTGGATTCTTCTGATCAGCTAACACCCGCGAATTCTGCTCTAGCCATAGGATTCTGTGTCCCCCAAAAAAAAAGCTTAGCCCTAGCCACCTCCGATTCGCCAGTCTTACTCACCGATTCATCACCACCATCCGACGGCAAGGTCGGCTATTCATTTTTCTTTCTTTTCGCGTGGCCTCCCGCGTTTTTTGACGGCCAACCGACCCGCTGAACGGCCATTTCTAGGTTTTTAGTGTTGTTTTGTAAACTTTAAAATGCGGTTTCCGGGGGAGCCAGTTTTTTTCGTAGAAGGCCGTTTCGTACGTTTTTTATGTTCCGGAATAGTATAAAACGCCTGCCAAATAAATTTTCCCTTGATATAAAAAATTTTTGGACTTTCGCGGAGAAAAATTAGGTCCCCGACGCGGAAATACAGAATAAAATATACTTTGTTAAATTTTGTAGATCTAAGCCTCACGTTCTTTTGTAGTCTATACCCCGCCTCATCAGCCGTTCGCTTGCAAACCCCTTTAACTAGAGGATGACCGACGGGGCGGGGGTGGCCCTTGTTTATGCAACGGCTTACAAGGGGTGCGCCGAAATTCGAGCAGTCCGCCCATTTCCGATATTGATCTAGCCGATTAGCATCGTTTTCCTCGAGGCTCTGCCCCTTCTACAGGCACAAACAGATCCAAGCTCTACACGCGCAATTTTGTTGGGCCAGGTTCGTCGAGGAAATTGGATTTCTGGCCAAACTTCGGACTTTTGGGGTGAAATTTGGTCCGAACTCTATCTGGATCATTATCGGGGGTGCGGGGAAAGAAAAAATTTTAATCCTATCGTGAACCAAGAAATGCTATTTAGTATTATCGCAATCCTGGCTGTTTTATGTATAAAAATGATAAAAATCGAACGAAATAGGCCAAAAATTGAATTAAAATTGCAAAACTTTCGTTTTTCTATAAAAAAAAAGGTTTTTTAGAGCGCTTTAGCCGTTCGAAAATGACAAAAAAACCCCACAATAACACTTTTATTACAGTTCAGAAAGCTCAGGAAAGCCGATAAGCATATACACTGCTGGACATAATTTTACGTCCACCTGATTTTTTCGGTGTTTTGGTGAGCAGGAAGGAGTGTCGCGGAAGCCACTTTTTTGCAGTATATTACACCCAAATAGGCATCTACTGGCACTCTAAACATCCTCAGAAAATTTTTAGATTTTTTAAAAATTAGCTTTTTGTAATAAAAAAGCTCTGGCAGGTGGACAGAATTTTACGTCCACTCGCAAAAATCAACTAAAATCCTGCGTTTTTTCATATCTTTCAATTATTTGTTATCGCTTTTGGCTCTGGTTGCCGTTTTTTAGTGGTGGGCCACGAAAACAAGTTGTACGCCCCGGTAATGGGGTTCTGACGCCTCCAGGAACATCAAAACGGAATTCGGCTTGTTTTGGCTGGTAATTCCTAAATTCCCGTTCTGGAACCTGTGTGTGACAAAGCCTCAGTCATGCCGGAAGACGTGGCAGCCGGGGCAGATGGTTGGGCAAGGCAGAAAACCGATTTCAAGGGGCCGACGCCAGCGCGGAGTTCGGTTGACTTCAGGATTTGGGGCCTCATCCCGTCGGGAAAAGCCGTTTTGATTCCGATTTCGTCCGGAAAGTGTCCGGACACCTCGGCGCACCACTGGTCCTGATTGGATCGACCGGATCCGATTTAATTTTATTCAGGGCGAGTTCCTTTCCGCAGGTCTTCCTGTGCTAAGTGGATTTCCACGCCATAAGGACCCCAGCTTGAAAGTTTCTTAGGATAACTTGGTCCTTTCTGTGTTAACAACTAAAAAAACATCCGGATGACCACCGGAGAGCATCGCCTGTACGAAAAACGCGTTCTAGAAATCTTAATGAGGACCTTAAAAAGGCGTTTTCTTTCTACAGTCCGACCTTTCCTTATTATACCGAATTTGACACGATTCTTACGCTGGCATTCATTGTTCTGCGGAACCCGATGATACGCCGAGGTGTCCGGACACTTTCCGGACGAAATCGGAATCAAAACGGTTTTTCTCGACGGGATGAGGCCCCAAATCCTGAAGTCAACCGAACTCCGCGCTGACGTCGGCCCCTTGAAATCGGTTTTCTGCCTTGCCCAACCATCTGCCCCGGCTGCCACGTCTTCCGGCATGACTGAGGCTTTGTCACACACAGGTTCCAGAACGGGAATTTAGGAATTACCAGCCAAAACAAGCCGAATTCCGTTTTGATGTTCCTGGAGGCGTCAGAACCCCATTACCGGGGCGTACAACTTGTTTTCGTGGCCCACCACTAAAAAACGGCAACCAGAGCCAAAAGCGATAACAAATAATTGAAAGATATGAAAAAACGCAGGATTTTAGTTGATTTTTGCGAGTGGACGTAAAATTCTGTCCACTTGCCAGAGCTTTTTTATTACAAAAAGCTAATTTTTAAAAAATCTAAAAATTTTCTGAGGATGTTTAGAGTGCCAGTAGATGCCTATTTGGGTGTAATATACTGCAAAAAAAGTGGCTTCCGCGACACTCCTTCCTGCTCACCAAAACACCGAAAAAATCAGGTGGACGTAAAATTATGTCCAGCAGTGTATATTCCTTAGAAAATAAGTTTACTTTTGGTTCCCCGCTAAAATGTTGCTCCCATATAGCGATCTGGAACCCAAAAATTCCTAGTTTGCACCCTTCCCTTCACAGAAAAAGGCCAATAAAATCCTGTGAAATTATATTCCGAACACGGGCTTGTTTTGGCCTAGTTCTAGGTGCGAAACGACATCGCCGGCGGTCTCACCGTAAAACGCGAGACCGGCGCCGGAATAAAGCAGCGCCATACCGCCCCGAAAAAGGCATGCCACATGCTGCATGTGTTTGCTTTTTTGGCCCGGGCACCCCGCTCAAATATGGATTTGTTCGGGTCGCCGGTGAGGCGCTCCCTCCCCCCTGGAATCTTTTATCAGGCCCCGAACGCTACATTCTCGGCGATACTTTTTTGTCTTGGCTTCTTTCTACTTACTGCTTCTTCCTTGGTCTATCTACTTTATTCTTGCCTTGATCTCTATGTTTAAAGCTTCACTTCCGGCTCGAAAACTAACTTTTCGTTCAGCATGGCGACTGACGTGAAGTCACCGTTGGTCGACTACGGGCCCACCGCCCACACAAACCCCAACCTTTTCAAGCTCGAAATCAAGGCAAAGGTGAGGATCATGTTGCTAAATGCGTTTTTTCAAACTAATTTTTTTTGAATAATTCCCATGTGAAAAAATGCCGCTAACGCCTAAATTTAGAAATTCGTCTTACGTAGGAATCGCAAAAAGTTTAAATACCGTCATATTTGGTAAAAAGCCTTGAGTTGCATTTGATCAAGCCGTTTTCTTAACTTTAAAAATAATTTTTTTTAATTTCAACATCGCTAAATTGGGAAAAAGAAACTGTGAAATCAGTCCGTATCACATATCTAACCTTATAAGGGAAAAACTTCCTTTTTGGGCGTCGTTAATTTAAAAAACTAAACTAATTTCAGCACGTCCTATGCCACGAGATTGGCGCCGGCTCGAAATGTACAAGATGCGGCCGTTGCCCAGGATTGGACCTGCATTTTTGGAGGTTTGCTGGTTTTTCGTGGAGGGCTCCCTGCCGAATTTTCCGACCTAAAACCACACTTGATTTCCAGGAAAATCTGCAAAGCCTGCAGCTGCCGAATGGACGAGCACGACGTCATCCTGCCCAACCAGTACGACCACGGCGAGCTTGTCATCGGCCGTCTATTCGGCTTCAAGGAACAGTTTGAGCACGTCGTCGCCGATTCCTATGAGCTGGCCAAGGTGAGCAAATACTCAATCCCCGCTAAAACACCAAATTTCCAGACGAATGCCGACGCGGAACGTGACGCGGCTGAGGGACGCGTTACGCCTTTTGGGGTAACGCTACGGCCGGTAAAGCGGGATGGTGGATCCAGGTAAGACTTCGCGTAAAAGTGACAATATCCTTTAGTCGGAATCCCTCGCCCGGGCGATGCGACTCGGCTTCTGCCCGTTCATCCACCTCTCCGACCCCTACAGCCGCAACATCATCTACTCCTCGGATCGTCACCGAAGCGTCGCTGAATATCAAACCTCCGCCAACGCACATTGCCACCGTCAGCGAGCAGGTTGGAAGTTTACCCGTTTTTCTACAAGTGTAATTCCCAGAAACGCACCGTCCCGACGGCCGTCTACAACTACAAAATGGAGACGAACGGCAAGGAAAATGAAAAGGTGCGAGAAAATTCCCAAGTCCTAAAAATACATCGCTGCTTTAAGGTTGTCACCTACTATTCATGGGTGCCGATACGGGACGATCGACTGATCGACAAATACATGCGGGCACTACCCGAGGAGGAACGACCCATCCAGGGCACACGCGGCGAACAAACCCGCCGACAACGATTGGCCTATCAGGTTCGAGCAGTTCGCAGACCGTCCCTTGAGCAACACATTCAGGTCCCGCTGTACGATTGCAACGTCGAGGACTGCCGCTTCGTGGCCGACCAGGACAAGGAGGTGTTGGGCAAGTTTGTGGAGAATGTCCGGAAAAATGTGGGTGATTTGAGGGAGGACTTTCTAACTCTAAATTTCATAGATTTAAAACTATTCAAAAATTCTCGTTGCAGGTGATCGGCGTCGGGAAAGTCGTAGAGGTGGATTCGGCGGAGAATAACGATCGGAAACGGCGTGAAATGAGGGAATCTGGCAGCCAGGTAGGGAATTTTGGGGCTTCTTAAAGGGATAGGGGCGGCATAAGTCAATCGATTACGCGCGGGAAAGAAAATGTCACTGCGCCTTTAAAGCTAGGTAATTTTTAGACGGAGCGACCGCAGGGAAGTAGTCATTCCGGGGCCGGAGATCGATTCGACGAGATAGCCGATGGTGTTGGAAAGATGCAGGTGAGGATTTTGAATGTTATAAGTCGTCTTTATTTTAGTGTTTGATCCAATATTGAATTCAAGGTATCCCCTGGCAGCGCGTCTTCCCGATCGCCTCATTCTCCGGGTGCTGAACGGGCTACAGAAGTAATCCAGGAGATCGATCCAGTTGTAAGTTCAGGCTACATGGCGTACGGTCTCTCTATCTCTCTCTCTCTACCTCTCCTCTCTCTCTCTCGCAAAATATCTTCTCCCACACCCAGCAGTTCCGTGTTGAGCGTTGCGTCGGAGTCTCCCAAGTCGAAACCCAGATATCCGCGGTGCAATTTTTTTTCATTTTTGAGTGCCTTTTCTAACTGTTCCTGTGAATTTTATAAATCTTATGTTTTCCAGCCCTGCCGCACATGCTCAAGCCAAATCCAGGTCGGCGAGGTGGGAATTCGGACAGACCATGGGCAACGCGAGGTATTCAGCTTTCCATTTATTTTAACGAGCCTTATACCTTTAGGATACATGGCACCCCGGGTGTTTCCGGTGCGAAGAGTGTCAGCAGCTCCTTGTGGATATGTTATACTTCTTTCACCAGGTGGGAAATGTCAGTTTTTTAGTCAAGGCTCTGTATTTCAGGGTAAATACTATTGTGGCCGGCACTTTGCCGATCAGGTCTACCCGCGATGTGCTGGCTGTGATGAGGTATGCCATATGAGTCAAAGCATTCAACGCTCCTAGCTAATCTTCGCCAACGAATACACGTGGGCTGAGGAAAAATCGTGGCATTTTGACCATTTTGCGTGCTTCAAGGTAAAAGTATTACTTGATTAATTCAGGTTTGAAATTTAGTGTGACTTAAAATTGGGAGGTCACCGCTATATGACAAAGGAGGAGCAGCCGTACTGCCTCGACTGTTTCGTTCAATATTTTGCCAAGGTCAGTTTGGCTAATCAAAAGTGTGGAACGGCAATGTGTTCCAGACCTGTGCCAGTTGCCAGAAGAAAATCCAGCCAGATGAGAAGCGGCTGAACTACGAGGAAATCCACTGGCACGCCACGGTCGAGTGTTTCCAGTAAGATTTTCACGAAGCCCAGACCCTATCAATTTTCAGCTGTCAAAACTGCAGCGAACCGTTAATTGGAAAGAAGTTTCTGTGGAAAGAAAACTGCCTATTCTGCTCTAGCAAGTGCCGGCAAGAACATAAGAAATAGCCGGGGCTCCTCCTTCTTGCCCCATTTACTGAATCCCCGTGTGCCACCGTCCCTGGTAGAGTGCTTCTTCGCCTTGTATCCCGGATATACCGCTGTGATAGCATGCTCTCGTGCTTCTATGATAAATCATGATCTCAGGGGACCGCCTTTATCACATCACAAAGGTCAAACGGATAATGAAAACAACAAAACACCGGAGATCAGCACTGATAAATTGATAGCATAACCTTATTGTCTATTCGGGATTGATCTTGCCGCCGGCCAGACGTTGCAGCTTCTTCAAGCAATCCTGCAGCACGACCGGTGCAATATCCTGGAAATCCATTTCAACAGCGTTAAGGCAGTGTGTACCTGATAAATCTTCAAATCGTCGTTGGCGATCAGCTTGGCGAGCGAGAGAGCAGCCTCCACGTCGTATGTGAACTGGAAAGTACGAAAGTGGAAATAGGGGCACGAGAGCTAACCTCGAATGCCTTGCACAATTCGATCAACACCACCGCATAATGGACGCCCCGAATCGCCGCTAGATCCGATCGGCGCAATTTCTAAAAATGACACATTAGAAGGATCACCATTCCAAAGTTGACCTCTTCTTGCTGGAAGATCGCGTGCTGAACTGGAATCTCATTCACGTCCCGCCAGCCGCTCTGTTGCAGAAAGTCCAATGAGATGCGGACGACTTCCTGGAAACAAGATTTAATTGCTTGAGTACGAAACACTACCGTTTGGATGGCCTCCAGCTTCACCGTTTCCCGCAACAACTCGTAGTCCTGGTTTCTCACTTCAGCGAGTCTTATCGCCGACATGCTGCTGCTATTCCGGGCTTGCTTTTGGAAGCGAATTGCCGCATCCGATTGCATAACGCGATGCCGTTCCAGGTCCCAGTCGACCCACTTCTTCATGCCAGCCTAGAAAAAGATAAAAAATACAGGAAAATCACAATACCAAATAAATGATGTGGTTCCTGTGTTCGCGAATATCCCGCTCGACCAGTTCATCGTGGAATCCGAGATGCAAGCATCGATCGCCGAGTGTCACACCATCTCCCGCCACGAATGCCATGTTCAGCACCTCGGCGGCTAGGCTCTCCTGGTCGTGTGCTAAAAATAAAAGTTGAAAATGATCACAGATCACATTTGTACCTAGCAAAACGCGAACTAAAGCGTTGGTCGTGTAGAGAACTTCTTTCATCGATTCTTCGCAACGCAACAGCATCCACTCCCAGGCGTTAATGGCATTCTTGTAGTCGGCCTGAAACGTAAATTTGAATACAAACTTCACATATGAGGTCTGAATTTAAGACACCCAAGTCTCATGGCACTGTCACTGTCAAAAATCACATAGACCTCGCCAAGATGGAACAAGACGCGGCTGCCCTAGCTACTGCCCACGCCCTCGAATTCGTCCACGATACGGTACAACTTTTCCAGGGCCGAGTCTTGGGTTTAGAAATGGATGAGCGCCAGGTTGCTGCGCTACCTTCAGCGTGAGACAAAGATCCAGGCTGAGCAGGTAAAGCTAATCACTAGATTCTGACCAACTCCCAGTTTAGATCGCAACTGGTGCCGCGATCTGCGTGGCCGCCTATCTGTGCGTCGGGCCGAACGCTCGGTTCATCTGCAACGCCCTGCTCACGGCCGTCCCGATCCTGACCACGTTCGTCTTCCCGGCTGAGCGTCCCGAGTCGAAGAAGCTTTTTGTATATTGGTGGGCCAGCCGAAAAATTCAAACTACGGCTGTTGAAGGGCTGTGTTCGGTTGCACCACCACGCTGGACGACACCCTGGACAAGGCTCTGCCAGTCTACTTCTTTTTCAAGGCAAAATAATTACCTCTAGCTTGAACATAAAATCCAGACCATTCTCCACATCCTGCTCTTCCTGCGGCCCTTCGAATTCGGCAAGCACCTGGTCGAGGCTATCGAGAAGGTATACTGATCACGGAGAGTTGACATTGCTGGAGTTGTAGCAGAGCGAGGCGTTCCGCGTCGACAATCCTGCCGAGCACGATGAGGCAAAGTCGGGAGCCACTGCCGTGCCAAAGTAGCGGTTTTTGCTAGTGTGGACCATTCTCTAGGAAACGCTCGCGCGAAAATGATCAGTCGAGGGCGTCGCCTCCGAAGGGGACTGATGGAAGCGCCTCGGCTGATGGGGGCGGCAGCGGCGCTCCGGATGGTGCGTTCAAAACAACAGCCATTGAACATGCTCTTACCAACATTTCCAGACGCCGGCGGTCGAGCCCTTGCAACCCAGAGCCGCACTGATATGACGACCGGTTAGTCCGGCTCCAATTTTTCACGCATCTTGCAATTTAGGCCAGGGCGGCATCACCATCCCGCGAGGGACCATGCTCGACTCGGGCAACCACCAGCTGCACTCGTCGGCCTCCAACTCCGACGACGGCATTTACACGCAGGGCGTCGGTCCCGAAAATAATCTCAATGATTTCATCACCCTGCCAACCAACAACCTCGTGGGCCCTTAAAAGTAGCCTAAACCACGCCCGCTGTGCAGGTATTCAACGGGCCGTTTGACAGCGGCATCACTTACCATATGAAGATCCACAACAACTCGCACCACCCGATCGCCTATGCCGTGAAGGTAGAAATTTGAAAGTTCATTCTGAACGATTCCTTCCCCTCGCCAATAAATAAAAAAAATCTAGGGCAACTGCCTGAACCGAGTGACCGTCTACCCGCCGATGGGCGTCCTTACCGCCGGCCAAAAGATATTGGTCGGAGTCAAGTGTCTGGTAATCCCCCTCCGGCGACTCCCGATTCTATATATTTTCTAGCCCTTCGAATACGGCAACCAGGATCTCAGCAAGGACCGCTTCGTCTTTGAATATTGCATCGTGCCCGAGGAGACGAAGAAGTTCAACTTCAAACTGCTGGATGTAGGGATTTCGCGTCCAAAAAAAACCCGAAAAGCGGTTAAATTCCCATTAATTTTTTTTGCTTTAGGACGCTGCGTCCCGGCGCCGCAAAAACATCCACGTCCAGTACAACCCGTAGTGTCCGCCCACTCGCCCGACGCCACTACCACTCGTACCCGCCGACCCTTCTCCGAGCCCACCTAATGCCCAGCTGATTTCCTCGACCGATTATCGCCCCCACCCATTCGGTGTTTCGGCACAATCGGGCCCACTGTCGCCCCTCCCCCGAATAAAGTATTGTGTGACAACAGCTTACCGTAACCGCTTCCTTCCCGACGCCCCGAAGATGCGCTATCTTCTCGTACACGAAGCTGAGCGTCAATTCCGAAATGGACAGCTTGGCTTCGGCTGCATTGTCCAAAAACTCGGCTCGTTCCGCTTGCTCGGTGATTGCTAAAAAGACAGCATATTGGTCAGGCGACTAAATTAGGCCTACTATCCATGGCGCTAGTAAGATGGTCAAGTCGCTCATCCGAATCGCCTAGCAGTGATAGATAGAACGGCAGCAGCGTCGGCATTCCGATGGACATGAGCTTCTGTGCGTAAATCTTGAGAATAGCTTCACCCTTTTCATCCTAAATGAACGGTGAAGAAGGATAAAAAATGGGCTACTTCGTGATCGACTTTTTGTTGCCTCCAAATGACCACGAGGTTCGCCATAAATCGAACAACATGATCACTAGCCTGATCCCCGTGCTCGGCCAGCCTAAGCAATTTTAGCGTCTCAAAGTATAGGGTACCATTTGTACATGTAGTCGATACAGGCATCAACTTGGCCCTTGGGCAAAAAGAAGTAGATGTGCATGTACGGAGAAGCGTCGTTCTGAACAATTGGCTTACGGCAATAAAAAATCTAAGTACCTCCAAGCTGATAATCTCGGCTAATTCGTCCACAGTAGACGGGACATCCTCGTTTAGCCCGTTTATAGTCACGCCGAGTTTCTGATCCAGCATGTGCTCAACCGCTGCGTTCGCGAGGCACCTAAAGGTGAGCTCATCTTGCTCGTATACCATACCGTCCAATAAAATTGCTAGAATTTTGCCAGCGAATCAATCTTATCCTAAATATTACCCACCATATTCTATCCTCGTTAGTGACGGCCATATCGAGCAACGGTCTCAGCCTCCCGCCAAGAGTGGCAAAGAGTGACAGCTTTGCTGACGGCATCATCGTGTCTTGCATCTAAAGCACCGGAATACTTTCACTAAACAATTCGCCCCACCTTTGTCCACATCTTCGCCAGTATCTGCTTGAAATTACGCCGACGGTTGGCCCACTAAACAAGGCAAGTTATGCCCCCAATATTTTTTCACACCATGGCATTTGATTTCTCGTCGGCAAGCGGCGTGTATGCACTATCACGGTTGACCATCCTGGCGCTGAGCAGACCATCCCAGGCCAATTCACCCAAATGTTCGCAAAGCTGGCTCGCCTAAATTAAAAAGGTAATGTTGGCCGCAGGACTCATACCTCGTCTAGACGGCCGCAGCGCACCAGAGAGAACAACACTTTGAAAAAAGCGCTGACGTCTTTCGCATCATTCTCAGACATATCGGCATCAGTAGTCAGCTGAAAACAATTAAGGATCAAGAACGGCGCCGTTTTATACCCCAATCGGCTGCCCATTCTCGGTTAGGATGCGCTGTCGGAGTAGCACGGTCGTTTCGGCTCTAAAAACCGGGTTTAATTTTACACGGGATATACCGAAGTTCAGCAATTCGCAAAAAATCGCTAGCGTCGAAAACATGTCGCGCGAAGCCCTCGTCCGTGCGGTGGCCACAACGCTCAGACCATTCGAGCAAAACCTAAAGCACTATATTTGCCGTTCCCACTTTTCACGAACACTGAGCATCCGAAAGTCGTCATTTTCGGCAAGCAACTGACCGAGCGTTGAGTCTGTCTAAAGCAAATTTTCCCTGAAAGAATGCGGCTCAACCTTTTTCGACAATTCTTGAAACTCTCCGATCACACATAGCAATTCGTATGCGTTTTGCTCATTGGTCAACTGGCGAATGACGCGGCCGATCGCTAAAAGCATACATAACGGCCGGCAAACAGAAACATACAGTTCTGAGAGCCAGAAGGCTGGAGCGTTTTTGTGATCCCGTCTCGTAACCTATCAGCGATCCGGGCACAATTCTAAAAGCTTGTGAAATCTATGACAAAGGTACCAATGCCAGGCTGCTGTAATCCTCCTTTTGTGCCAAGAAACCATTGTGGAAATGAACGGCCATAAGGCGAGTAGCTAAACGAGGAGCTTTGGAAACTAATGTTGGAGCAAACCATCAAGTAACAATTGCTGTCCATCTGCATGACTGGCTTGGTCCACGGCAGACCAATAGAAATCTTGACGACCCGTCTTCTGCTGCCGATTCGTGAGGAATTCACTAGCCATGGACACGGGCGATAATCCCAGGTCAGACATTCTGGAATTCAAAGATCTCGAGCTGGGGAATGTAGTTAAATCAAGCCATTGAACGTTTCCGAATAAGAGTTTTCTAGCTTTATGTGGACAGGCAAGGTAGTGGGGCCGTTCAAGTCCCCGCGAAAAAAGGAGCGTCTCGTCGGCCATCACAAAAAGCTCCATGGCCCCGCACTTTTCAATTCTTGCAATAGAATCGACATTGTGGATCTTTTGAACTTCTTTGGTACACCATCATCGTTGCTTATGTCCAGTAAATTGTAGTTAAAAACTGCAGTGTGATGAAAACGTGGAACATACAGGCATGAGGTAATTGTTTATTGATGGGATCATTAGAAACATGGAAAATGCAGATACATTAGAGCAGCTTTGCGTAGTGGTAGATACAATATTCAGTCAGCGGCGGCTAACAACAAATGTTTAGGCAGATCTATCGCCGAAAGGTTTCTACATCGTGGGCATAAACTGAACGCGCGATACCTCTATGCGAGTTGTCCAAATAATTGAAGACGAAAGAAGGGGGAAAAATACGGCAGATATTCAAAAATTTTGTAGTCTTCGTACAAGCTGAAGGTCTGTAGGGAGTAGCGTCTTTCGTTTGGCGTGCTGAGTACAAATACTTGCATCCTCGAAAAGGCGCGTCAAGAATGCTTCGGCCCCCTAAAGCATGGCATCAAAGAAATAAATGAATGCATACCTCCTGACAAGCTGCCATAGCTGCCACATTCCACCGAAGATCCTGCACATGCGAGACTCGCATGGCTATCGCTTTCACGAGACGTGCGAACGACATTTTCTAAACACTTCGTACTCGAAAAAAAGGAATTAAATACCGGGATCAAGTTGTTCGTAGTTTTTTGCAGGTGACGAATTTCTTGTAGGGCACGGTATCCATATTTGTACCGGCCATTTGCTTGCTTGGGGCCTGCGCGTTTCCGGGCACTTTGCGGAGTAATCGGCGTAGCTGTCGATTGGCTCGGTCCGGGGCGTGGATGGTGTGCTAGTGCCACTATAATAAAAATAAAGTGAAAAATTATATACTTCAATACCAGCTTTGTGTGTGAGGGGAGTAGAGAGCACAGATGCATTCGTCAGATCCCGAAATGCATTCGAACTGGCATCTCGTCGTTGCTCCATCATGCTGGAGGTGCTAAATGGCAAAATTAGCTAGAAAGACAACAACATCCAGGCAAACATAGACCAGATTTCTCTATTATCCGGCAGCAAGATAGTTTCTTACTATTCCAGCCCAGAGTTAAGTAACCTTGAGAAAACGAGAAAGATAACTAAAATCAACCTGGTCTCCACCGTGACTCTGACGTTGCCCATTTGAGATATTCCTCTATCATTGTAGATTCGATATTTGTCCATCTACAAACATTCGTTTTGTAAGAATTATATAAAGGAAAAAGAAAAACAAGGATCGAGTCAAAAAAGCTTGGCTTCCCTCCAATGACCCCCGTTTGAATCTGGGGCACCTTATAGCAACCCTGTCCCGACCCCTCACCCCGGCGCACCGGATGAGAAGCACTGAAACTGGAGGGATAGTAAAAGTACATAAAGTTTCAGTAAATTGATGAAATCCAAAAGAGGATATCTAACACATTAGAAGGCTGGATGAAATGGAAGTGTAGCAATTGGTCGGAAATGTTTCGAAACAACACGCTAACTTGATTCTAAGAAACTATTTTAAATGCGAAACATTTAGACGGTAACCAAAAAAGTATTCTTTGATTTCAAACCGAGGCAAAAATCCGAAAAGCCGGGGAAAAGAACAAGATCTTATCAAATGCGCAGAGTCAAAATCAATCAATGGATGCCTTGGGCGCAGGTGCGAGAGTCTGCGCATTAATGAACCGTAGAAGAGCACTGCTGATTGCCACAAAAACGGGTAAAACAACATTTTAATTTAGAAATCGGTGTAAAACCATGTTCGCACTACACCAATTCCATCCAGTTTTGCCAACTATGTTTTCCGCAATTTCCGGTCATGGTGCTCATTGGTGCAATACGTAGAAGTTGTTTGTAAATATTTATTTATGAGCGACACAAACATCATTTTAACAACTCTGATGCGCTTCTCGCTGGCACAGCTTCATCCCAAGGCCCGTGTATCGTACGTTTTCGAGGCTGCAAAAAAGATGGTAAATGCGCTGGACATGGTCAAACCTGTAAAGAGATCAGCAGGGAGGGGCAGAGCACGACTACAAAGACTACTAGAATCGCCCAGAGGATCGTCAAAACAGGGTCGAAAAAGACGAGAGCATAGCAACAGATACCTGAAGTTTTCATTTTATTTAAACGTTGTTATGCACTTACCCGATAATACAACGCAGATCAGACACTCTATTGCTGGGATTTTCAGCATGAGCGCATTTTGGAATGTTGGCAGCAGAGAGTGCAGCGAAAAAGATATGGATAGAAGCAAAAATGCCGATTCCGAGTCGCTGAGCCGAGAAATCAATAACACCGACGAGCACAGGCCGCATGAAACACTGACAGGCACAGAAACGCTGAAATTATTTTAGAAAAGGTATGTGATGATGTCTCTTACATTGGCGCTTTTATCCCGTAGTCATGAAATATGCAGCTGAACACTGCGAAGAATATGGCCAGAGCATATATAGTGTCGGTACTGATTGTTGTGGTCAGGGTCCTAAAATAAAAACAATAATATTATAGTAAAAATTCGATTTGTCTACCTTATTATCGGAGTAAGAGCGTAGCCGAACAGCAATAGAGTTAGAAACACCAAGATATGTTCTTGAATCGCCCATTTCTCGGGTCGGTGGAAGCCAACTTGGTAGAGACCGTAGGCAATAGTGGATGCCGCGACAAAACTCCTAGAGGCGAGAAATGGCGTTTTGAGCAAGACCTACCACAACACAACGTCACTTTGTACACTTTTCGCGTAGATCGCCTCGAAGAGTAAAAAGTACAACAGTACGAAGTTTAGATGGAGCATCAGATGGCACGCTCCGCCCACCGCTGAGCCGAACGAATATTTTACCGCAGAGACTGAAACGCGAACTGTGAAAGTCAGGGCCATGCACATACCATTTTTCCGAAGCTCCATCAAGAAGCATTCATCGCCACCGGAATAATTGTCGGGGAATGGCTGCCTTTTGTATAATTGCTTCTTCCACGCCGGCATCGTTTCCTGGAACGTAAATATGGTTCTTTCGTATTATCGGGGGCACCAAATTTTTTAAGTGTCGAAATTTTGGGAAAATTTCACTTTACGGTAACTAAATAAAATGTCGATTTTTCGATTGGAATCGATAGATCTCGTCGAGTTCTATCATTTCCAGTTGAAAAAACTATTGGGACTCGCTTCTAAAAAAAGTTATAAACATTTTAAATTGGCTAGTTCACTTTACGGTAACTAAATAAAATGTCGATTTTTTGACTGAAATCGATAGATCTCAGCGAGTTCTTGTGTTTCCCGTTGAAAAAACGATTGGGACTAGCTTTTAATAAAAGTTATAAACGTTTTAAGGTGGTTGGTTCACTTTACGGTAACCTCGTGAAAATGCGATTTTTCGCCTGGGATAAATAGATCTCATCAAGTTCTTGTATTTACAATTGAAAAAACCTTTGGGAAAGTTTTTTGGAGGAGGCTACACTATATTTTTGACATTTGACTGTGACATTTCAGCAAGGCGGGCCGTCGCTTCGGATGGGCTGCCGCTCCACTCTTTCGAAATGGGGCGCCCCCGGCCGCTTCGCCGGCCTTGGCGCCCCCATTTCGAAACCCTGTACGAGCTCGCACCCATCCGAAGCGACTAGGCCCCCGGTGGCACGAAGCCTTTTTCTAGTCGCAGAGCGGAGGAAGTAGCGGTCCTTCCCCAAATTGAGTGACTCCTGTTGCAAAACCGTCTTTTGCTGTTTCAGAAATTCTGAAATTCGGTGGAGTGCAAAATGTGCTAATACAGTTTTTCTTGCGACTTTTGCAGCGGCCCCGTATTTGGTACCCCAGTACGTTCACAACTCTTACGTTTTTTCCGTACAAAGGAGTCCCTCGTAGCCGAAACAGACTTTTTCGATGCGGGGTGAATTGGTTTAAAACAGCTATAACTTTTGTTAAAAGCGAGTCCCAATCGTTTTTTCAACGGGAAACGCGAGAACTCGCTGAGATCTATCGATTTCAGTAAAAAAAATCGACATTTTATTGAGTTACCGTAAAGTGAACTAGCCAATTTAAAATGTTTATAACTTTTTTTAGAAGCGAGTCCCAATAGTTTTTTCAATTGGAAATGGTAGAACTCGACGGGATCTATCGATTCCAATAGAAAAATCGACATTTTATTTAGTTACCGTAAAGTGAAATTTAGCCGAAATTTTTTATATAAATAGAGGAAATGTTTCCAAGCTGATTTTTACGACTTCTAAACGTAAAGAATGATTTTCATTAAAAAATGCAATAAATAGATTTTTTTCGCCTAGGTTTCGGTTAAAAATTTTTCAAAAATATTCTATTGTTTTTTTTACTTAAAATTTTGTAAAATAAAGAACGATAAATATCTAGCAAAAGCAACCAACGTTGGTATCTGAGCTCAAGGAAATCGGACGCTCACAAGGTGTTCCAGTTAATTTGTTGACCACGGGCATACTACGACCTGATTATCATCGCGCTGAAATCGACGCATTATTAGCGAAGATAGTTCAGTTTAGTTTTGAAAAAAAAACCTTAGCTGCTGGTGTATGCTATTCTTTGATATAAACATTTCGCAAAAAGAATTTATCGGCACGAAAGAAAAAGCCGCACAACCACCTTCCAGCCAAAAAAAACACAGATGATCAACTTTGGTACAAAGAAAGAAATGCCAACCAGTGGCTTTTGTTTCACAGCACAATCGGAAAGCTATGCAAAACGGGCATGCGATACGCTTTTTAGGCACAGAGACAAAAACAAATTACTACGAAAAAGCAAAATTTAACTAATTGCTTGTTTTAATATTTTCGGGGACAATGACGCCTTGTTGGTGGTACTGGGTGAGGGGTTGAGGTGAGTAGTATGATGGAGAGGCGGCCATTTGCTGCATCGGAGAACCCGGGGCTTCGCTGGCGCCTGAAAAGAATGTTTTTGTATTTAAAGTTTCGCAAATAATAATTTAAAGTATTTTAATATTAACTATCCGTAGTGATACTATTGACACCGGGATGTTGTGCCATCTAGGCATTGAATTTTGCCCGATGAAAACTTTGGAAATTAGCGAAAATAACACAGCTGATATGAGGAAAAGACTAGTAAAGAAATAAAAAAGGGTTGTTCTTGCAAAGTTTACAAAAACAGCGCATTTTAAAACTATGAAGTTTAATTAAATGGGCTATAGCCTTTCCCTCTGGCCCAGGCATTTCATCATATTTTATGCTGACGTGTACAAGCTCGTGGGAACTAGACCAATCTCTTGCTCCCCTGCAAAGCTCAATTCTTTGATCCCTGGATTTCTAGTGTTTAGAAGAGATGTTCCGGAATCGACAGAATCAACGAAGACAACGCGACACCTATGGTGTGATGCTCCTCGCCTTTCAGCTGATGAACTCGGGCCCGATACCACCAGTAAATTATTCCTTTTTTAATTGGATAAACATCCTAGGTGACGCTAGTGACAATTCTCGCCCAGATCGCCATCTACCTCGACTTCATCCCATTTCTAGGGCCCGATCGGACAAGTAGGAGGTTATTTTAACTACTCAAAGTTATTTCTAGTGGAAATGTGCCTACGACCCGACATCATCCTACGGCGTGGCGAATATTATCGGCTGTTGGCGCCGGTCTTTATGCATGCTGACGATATGCACCTCTACTACAACATGATCTCGATGCTGTGGAAGGTGAGTGCAACCGTTCGAAAAAAATAAATAAATAACAGGGCCGTCGAATGGAGAAAATGATGGGCGGAGCTCGTTTTTTGGCGATGCTGCTTGTATTCGTCCTGCTCACGCCGATCGCCACGGTTGCCGTGTCGGTGGGAATTGATCAGCTGTTCAACACCGAATATTCGTACCAATGCGGCGTCGGGTTTAGCGGTGAATTAGTCTCACTTTGCGATATGGGAATTTCTAGGTGTTCTCTTCGCGCTAAAAGTGGTGCTCAACAACCTACGACCCCATGATCACGAAGCGCTGTTCGGCTGGATACCAATTCCGACAAGATATGCCAGTTGGATCGAATTGGTTGTGATTCAGGTGTGGACAATTTCCGATGCATTTTCACGTGAAATTTCAGATGCTGACGCCAAACGCTTCATTCGTCGGTCACTTGGGCGGCATCATTTGTGGCCTTGCCTATACATCCGGTCTGCTTACGGTCCTCGTCGAGCCGTTGTACCAAATTATCGATTCCGGATTTGGCGGCGTTTTCGAAGAAGGTAAACAAACTACCATCACACCATCACCATCACACCGGGATTTAGCCGAGGAACCGACAAGGGGCCGCGCCCAAGGTAATGACTGGTCAAGCTGGTTTCGTGGTTTCACGAATCGATGGGGCCAGTCGCAAGACCAGGGCAGGACTACCGGAAGGAGACAAGATTGGAGGTACGAATCAAATCTGGGAGATTCGTTTTTGATTAATTTTAACTAGATTTAAAGGACGAAAACCTTGAAACAGCTAGATTTTTCAAAAAAAATTTTTGTTACGTTTGTGTTGAGAAAATCGGTTTTTTTATGCGGAAATTACATTGTTTTGATGCGCCGCCTCCGAAAAAAGCCTAAAGAACCCCATCTTCCAATCTGAATTAACAATATTCAGTCATTACACCGGCGGCATGAGCGAAGACGAACAGATGCGCCGGGCCCAAGAAGAAAGTCTGCGGCAACGAAGGCCGTACGGTTGGAACTGATAGAGACTTGATTGACTAACTTGTCCAGATTGATACGAGTACCCGTTTGAGAATAAATTTTGCACATACTGTAGGTCCTATTCGGCATCCGTTGGTTGGCGATCATTTGTACGCTACGCTGCAGGCGCGCCTGGAGGACGGCTCCCGTTGGCTGATCGGCCTGATATTCCTGAAGCCGGGTTTTTGGTTTGATCAAAGCACCTACCGGAATCTGGTGATAGGTGCCCTGGCCTTGCATCTCCATGTTGCCGACAGGGAGTTGGCGCATCTATAGTGGCTAGGTGCCTTTAGTGGGTGAAAGCAACATACTTGGTGATTTCCTTGCGCCATGCCCATCAGATGTGGTTGGCTGGCGATGGGACGCATTCCTTGCGCTAGTTTCTGCGAAAGATACTTTTGGTCCTTTGGTATTTCCGAATTTTTGTAATATAAATATCCTTTCCAAACTATTCTTTACTATTCCGAGAAGTAAAAACCATAAAAATCTATTAAAAAATCCAGAATTTCCCTGCTTCAGAAAATTCGGGTTGAACATGCCGAAACTTCGAAAAACCTAATTGTGCACTACAATATTTTCTGTTGCATCCGTACCTGTTCGAGAATTGGAGTAGGCGACATCGGGGCCGAGATAGAACCACTTCCGCCATTGTCCATCCGCATATGCTCTTTGCTCAGATGTTGGCTCAACCCCTGTGGCGATTTATAGCGCTTCGAGCAATGTGGGCATTTGAATGGCCGCCCATTCCTAAAAAACGTTTCCAAAGCACAAAAACCAAAAAGTCACTTGTTCGCCGGTATATGCTCCGGATGCACGATGACCTGCTGGGGATTCCTCTGATCGCCGTGCGTGGACAGCATGTGATGCCGGACGCCGTGCACGTTTTTGTACTGCTTGCCGCACGATGGAATTTGACATTTGTAGCGCACGGATATGTTTGGATCGCTAAAGTCATGCGTGTCAGGCTTTAATCGCGAAACGCACCTCGGATCCGCTTCGTCAAGGTCAATCTCGGACATGTTGCTGTCCTCATCTTCGGTGTAATTTTGTGCGTCTAAAGTTAAGAGCCTACGAAGAACTTTGGGGCTACAAACCTTCCGTACGCCGTCCGACGACCGGCATCTGGTACATTTCCGTTAGATGACCTGAAATGCGCACATTATATTATTTTTTTCGCAATAAGACAAACCTTGTATGTTTCGTTTTCGATTAAACAGAAACGGTAGCTTCGTCCTCAGGGGAGGAGCAACGGGCTGGGGTGCCGGCTCGTCTTCCGGAAAAACTCTGCCAAACGTTTCTACACATTTTCAAGCCCCACCGGCAATAATAGGACAGCGGCAAACTAGCGCGTGCGACAGCAGGGCCTTGCTCTTCGCGCCGTCGCTCTGCTGCGATGACATCGGCTAAAGGGTACGTAAAGATTGATTAGGTACCTTACGCAGATGGATAATCTCAAAATGTGCGATCAAGGCGTAGCTGCTGGCGAAATATTGTTGGCATTGCTTACAGAATGTGCTGCTCAGCAGCGTTAGGGACATTTCAACGCCAGCGTCTGGAAGGGCTAGATTTATTTTAACTTTTTTGCTTTTTATAATTCGAAAGTCCGACACAATACGTCAAAACTTCACAGGTATTTATCGTGGCACATCCCCGGCGATGACGAGCAAAAACATGATAAAGTTTTATTCCAAAAGCCGGACCCGTCCAAAAAACACGTGGCAAATCAAAGCAATATGACAATCGGGTCATCTTTCTTATGCTGGAAAGCTAGTAAGCTGCTTTTCAGAGGAGGTACAAAAAATGGGATCTACGAAAAGGGAATTACAGGAAATATTGATATAGAAACAATTTCACTCTTCAGCCTCCAGGGCACATTGTGACAGCAGGGAGTGTGTGTCGTCCCAACAATAATCCTCTTTCTCCTAAACAGGCATTTCAAAAAGGTTGGGGATGTGCTTGCCAAAACTGGAGCCTGTTCAAGAACAGCGGTTGTCGCCAGTGAGCGCAAACTTGGTGGTGTAACATACAAATACTAAATCAAATGTTTTGAATCTACGCTAAAAATGACAAAACCTGTCCTTGGTTCGTTCTCTCATCAGTGAAGGCTCTGGTCACACCACCCCAGATTATCATCCGGCCGTCCTGGAAAAGTTTAAGCTCTAGGAAACGCGCTAGTACTAACCTTCGTCACTGCCGCATCGTGGAAATAAACGGGGATGATAAGATGGCCCAGCTCTGTCCAAGTCAGCGTATCCAAATCGAACGCCCAAATGTCGCCGAGCACCGTGCCATCCTGCAATAACACAAATTCTGGGCAAAAATAACGGCATACCGGTATGACGTCCCCTTCATTCACTTCTTCGTGTGTTAGCCCGCCAGCCATGAAAAGTTTCCGGTCGTAGCGCACCAACGAATGTGCCCTAACAATTATAGATTGAAAGAATTCACTTCAAAAACCCAGCTACCTTCTTTCCTTCGGGTAGCGCCTTGTCCGCTGATCAGTTTTTGTTGTCACGACCTCGAATTGCCGCGTTTTCAAGTTAAAGGCGTTCAGCTAAATCGAATTTTACTCCTCGAAAAAAGTTATACCTCGTCAAATGTGTCGACCCATTGTGTGTTGCCGCCTCCCAGCATAAAAATCCGATCGCTGACCTCGTCATGGGTGATTTCTAATCGGTACAACCCTTCGTGTTGATAGTCCTGAAGCGGAAGTTATACATCAAAATACCAGCTAATGAGGCTGACCCCGGGGCTGATCATCTCCCATTCGCCTTTACCGTCCACAATTCGCACCATCCACACGTTCATAAAATAGGCGCGCCCCGTCGTACCGCCCACGACATAAAACACGTCTCGCTCAGTTTGGGAACGGCACATTGCCTAAAAAAGCTTAGAATGAGATGCTTTTTGGGATAATATAATTCTATAACGAGACACGATAATCTCCAAGCGCTTCCAATTTTCGGAAAAAAAAATGCTCAGATCAGCAAAAATCAAACTCACATGTCCATAGAGAGCCGGAGCGCTGCTCGGTGTCGTGATCTGAAGCCAGTTTCTGGGCACTCAAAGACCACCAACCTTGTCAAAGCGAAGGCAGTTGGTTTGGCTGGCTGCTGTGACCAAAGACACCTCGTTGGAATTCGTATCACCGAATGGTAGCGCCGATCCGCCATACAGCACCACCTCGTTGCCCCAATCAGACATTTGTGCGACTAAAATTCAAGGGTTGTGGACTGTTAGCGGCGGTGGGAGGATTTTGCCGGGTCTCGAAAAATCTCAGGAAAATGACGTTTTGAAATTTTTGACCCATTTCGATGTCTAAAGCGGAAAATAAACACACACCTGCATGTGAAGCCAGGTTTCCGGGCCCATTTTCCGGCCATGGCAATCTCTTCCACCGTTTTGTAAATAGACTATAGCTCCACACCTAGAATGGCAGCGGTCGAGGAGATGTCAAGCGGCTCACCTCTTTGAAAATGAAGCCCCCATCGCCGGTCCCTTTATCGTAGCCGCCAATTATGTACATGAAGTTTCCGTCGCAGAACATACGATGACCACTTCTGGCCAATGGACAATACTCTAAAGTGCCGTATGATAAAAAGATAACCGCACTCACCGGGGTTGCCCTTAAAAGGGAGCCTTCGGCACGCCGTAAGGCTGCTCTTTTTCTCAACTTGAGCATCGCCGCTGCCTCCCAGCTGTCGGAATAAGTTCTGAAACATGGATAATTTAATGCGAAGGAAATTCGTACCTGAAATACCTCCATCACCTTCTGCATCAATTTTCGGGATCTAGCAGAAGCCGGCGGGCTGAAAAGATGAGTTTTACTTGCGACGAGAAGGTCTGGCTATCCACATTGGGACGAAAAAATGGCTTTCTGATTGGTATTTTTGTTTATTCAGTTGAGAAGCTTTTGGTAAAGCCGCCAGCGGAAACGCAAAGCCGCAAAAGCTTTACGACGCGTTATTAGTACGCCGTTACAATGTGTCCATAGTAGTGCCTCGGATTGATGTGAAAATAAAAGTGAAAGAAAAAAATTCCGACAACTGTAAATCTCGCAAAAGTTGCATGTTTTGCAAAATCACAATACAACCGTCGAAAGTAATTTCTTATTTATAGGTATCCCGCGGATGTCATTAAGCGAGCCGATCTTGGGAATAGCAGAACCACTACAACAAACAGTCCTCAACTGTCGAAAGCAGAAAATCCGCGATCATGCCAAGCTCTTCCTCCTCTACTCGCAAAATCGTCAGCAGAACTCGATAGAACGAAGCAAGCGGCTGCCGCCTTCCCTAATAGACGAGGTAAGGTTCATTGCTACGCTTCGGATAGTCGATTACAGCTAGCCGCCAAGCTCTGCTACTTTGGAATCTACGGCGCCGTCATGAAGCTACATTTTGAGCAAGGAATGCTCGACGAGGCGGCGGTCGCCGAACGAGCCAAAGTGTTGGCTATGTATCAAAGTGACAAGGACGAGCTGATGCGAAGGATATCCCAATTTGACGAGGAGCTGCACAGTAAGGCGATCGGGCTGGCCAAGCACCAACAAGAGAAGCTACACCGGCTGGGCCTTCCCCATTTCCAACCCACCGACGATCCGGACAAGTTATCCACGCAGGTGGCCATCATCGACTTTATCCTTTTCTTGCCACCAGAAGAAATCTATTATTCTGTCGACCCGAGGACCAAGCAAGCCGTGTTTTATTAGGGTTTTTGTTGCATATTTTCCACTTTTCACCGGTATTTGCGATATGTACAGATTTTCTTGTAACTTTGACTCGCAAATTGACTTATGCGTGTATTTTCCGCCTGACTTTCCATTCTACTCGTGTCCCCGTGACTTCAACTTTCACAGTAAATTTTCAGGATGTTCCACGTACAGAGAATTGTACGTGCGAGTGCGGGTAGGCGGTTGACAGCAAGGGGCACGGCTTCGAACGCGGAAGCAGAAAAACAGGTTGGCTTAGCCGTTCATCTCCAGTTAGCTTTCAGAACGTCAGCCCGGTGCAACGGCTACACGTATCGGATGCCCTCATCAAAGAGCTGCCAATCGAAAGACAATCGTTAACGCGGGGTCTGGCGATGGACAAATTTGAGAAGGTATTTTTTCTAAGAGAAATGTACAAATTTTTAGGACTTTTTCATCTACCCTGAGCACCAGGATGCCGATGATTTGCGGAATATCGAGGGTTTTGTGAAAGTCCTCAGGGATTCGCTGCAACAATCTGGTAGGTTACTTTTACTCTTCTCACCGGTTTTTAGTTGATTCTGGCGAGATTGAGAAAAGCGGAACGCTGAGTGAAGTGGTCAAGCTGGCCCTGGATAGAAACGCGATAGTGAGCACCCTTGTCCCAAGCGCATTTCAAGGCCTTGGCTTCACGAACAAGGACAAAATCCGCGTATTTGAGGTTGAGGATTTTTAAAAATGTATCGATTTTTCCAGGAACTAAGCATCGATTTCTCGATCAGCTCGATGATGCAAGCCACCAATTCGGCCGTCAGCCTGTTGATACATTTTGGCAGCAGCGAGCAAAAGGAGAAATATCTGCCCCGGATCGTCGACGGGCGTTGCCGACCTGGTTTTGCGTACATTGAGCAGGGGTAAGATAATTACCAATCAAAAATTTTCATATTTTAGGTCCCAGGCACCGTTTGCTGAAATTTACGGGAGCGGACAGCAACTATTGCTGGAGGGGAAATTTAAGGTTAAAAACGGTTGTTTTATTCAAGCGTATTTTAAATTTAGGCCGTGAATCCTCAATCTGCAAACCTGATGTTTGTGTTTGCCTTGAAGAGAGACCCAGTAGACGTAAGTTTTACGGAATAGAGTCTGAATCAATGTTTTTTTTCAGAACAAACCGAAATTGTCGTGTTTCCTCATCGACCGCAACGAGTTGGATGACGGGTCCAAATGGGATGGGAAACGGGACGGCACGCTTGGCTTGAAGGCCTTTGAGTGTACGTACTTGAATTATCTATGTTCATCTTCAAACCTAGATGGTGATCTCAGCATACGTTGCTCCATTTCGGATGACGCGCTTCTGGGGGAGGAAGGCAGAGGCCGAGACGTCGCCAATGAGGTTTTATTTTTTTGCTAGTAATAACGTAAATTTATGTAGCTGGTCGCCAGCGGGCGGATGCCGTTCGCAGCAGCGGTCAGCGGTTTCGCCAAGCGGCTGGTCGATGATTTGTCGACGCTCTGCAATCAAACCCCGTCCACGGCTACGGTAGCTTTGGTCACTGTTTCTGATATTTGTTCTAGGAAAATACCGTTCTCGCGTCGTCAAGCAGTGTACAACGGCTACTAACGCACCTTTCAACAAAGGTATCTTGCCATTGGCTTCATAGATGCTGTATAAACCTTTAGGTCTATGCTTTGGAAGCGGTGACCTACTATCTCGGCGGGATCATTGATGAGAATATGCCGATTCTTGTCGACATTGAATCTGCCTTGATGCATGTACGTTTTTCGGATGGCAAAATACCGAGACCCGCAAATCCCGATATGCTGGTTTACTGGTTTACCGGACTTGCTCTTCGTTTGCGACGTGTCTGGATTTTCGCCTTTCTGGAATGCCCGAAACTCGGTCTTTTTCCACCTCATCGCTTTTTTTCAGAGATTAGCTCGAGAAACGTTGAAAGAATGCGTGTCGGCGATCGTCGAATTGAGCGGCTCGAAGGGGATTGAGATCGGCCCCAGATACGAGAAATGGATCCGCGATATTTCGACGCTACTCGCTATGGTTTTCTTTGACTTGTAAATGTATGTATATTTTGTCTAGAATTCGGAGGGAAATGTGACTGAAGAAGTTGCGATGAGCACACTATCGTCGTGGGCCGTCACAAATTACTCACAGTAGGTGTTATTCTCTTTGAGGTTAGCCCAATGTTGCATTCCAGTGCCAAGTCCAGCATCCAGCGATTTTTCAAGATGGCCAGCCACGAGAAGCAGTTGGCCAACCCGAAATTGAAACATTTCATCGCCGAGCACGCACATCCGTCGCTTCAGGTAGCTTTTATTGTTTTCATCATAAATTTGCCGTACAGGATGCAGCGCAGGAGCTCGAGTTTACGATGAGCCGCGTCCACGCCATTTTGGACAAGTTGATCGCGGAGCGGGGAAAGAACCTGGAGGCTGACTACGCCTCAATGGAGAACCTGGTTAGAGGTAATTCGTTTGTATTTCCATCGTACGTTACCTTCAGTACTGCAAAACAACCTGATAATGGTCGCCGTCATCTCACGGGCGACACGCTCCTACTCGATCGGGCTGCGAAACAGCGATCTGGAGATCTTTTTCGCGACACAATTGTGCACAAGGTAGGTTGTTCATCGATTTTTCTGGCGGCTGTCAAAAAATGAGCGCAATACCTGATTTTACAGGCTCTCACGCTCCTCCTGGTTCGAACTCGACGCGTTGAGCAACCACTTCAACCTGCTCAAACTCAACCCAAGCCTACTGTCGGCCGGCCGGGCCGTCCTCGAGATGGGCGGCTACAAGATTGAGAACCCGTTTGAACGGAATTGGTAATCTTCTGCTATCTCTCTAATATTCTACGGGTATCTAGTGCTAGTTTAGTTGTTTTTCCGTTATTGTTTTTTTGACATTCACCGTTGCGTTTTTCTTGGTCTATCAGATAAATTCTATTTTATACAACCGAGATAGTAGATAGATAGGAGACAGAATAGTACATTTCTGACCCGAAATGATTATCGTGAAAAACACGAGTGGGGTACCCGAACAATGGAATCATTAGTGGGGGGTGAAGACATGTTTTTTTGGATGGATCTGACAAAGCTCAAGGTCTATCCTTGATTTCAATGTCCCGTGCTTTCGCGATGAGATGAAGAGCGTCATGGCTGCCGAGGGTGCGGGACACCTAAAATACGGTTTATATGAAGGAGAATTTTTTGCAAGAAGTTGGGCAAATTTCCAAGACTCACTCGTTGCAATAGAGATAGGTAGCCCTCGTCCTCGTGCTCAGAATCCTTGCGGATTAGCTCCAACCTCATCTTTGCCAACTTCTGCGCGTATTCAGAAGCCAGCTCGATGTCGGATTTCTTCTTCCTGTCGATCTGAAGCTTCTGATTAGCTGTTGGTTGGTTTGTAACTTACGGTGATGAACGAGTTTTGCGGGGGATGATTGCGATCCGTCTTGGCCTCGATTTCATCGTTAAGAGCGCGCTGTCGGGAACCGCAAATATCCAGGCGCATTGTAGCTGAAAAGGGGTGGTAAGTCTTATGTTGGCTTGCTAGCCATGTTTTTGATATCTAGGCTTTTATATGAAAACTCACCGTTACGAAGTCGATCGGGGCATTTTTCAACTTCCGCCAGACACCATCAATCTTCGTGTCCAACGTTCCTTTGTTTTGGAGCAGTTGATCACGATAATTCTAAAAATGATAGGTTAAATGCAATCATTAGTTCACTTACAATATGCGCCTGGGCCGAGTCGGGGCTCATATCGGCTGTCCCAGACGGGGTCAACTCGATGGCGGCCACCACGCGATCCCGCTCCTCGACGAGCATGCAGAGATCCTTGTAAAGCCGCTCACCCGCGTATTCCAGAAGCCGTCGGATGCTGTAAATACGGGGGGTTATAGTTGACGTAAGAATGTCTATACCTTTCTCGATGCTTGTCCTCCTTTTTCAGGATACTCTTGCAGCCGCGTAACCGGTAGGACGAGCTGGTGCGGAGGAGCGGACGGGGTGAATTTTGGACCTAAAGCCAATAAGCTCAAGATTGGCTTAGTAACTAACCACATCGGAGAATGTCACATTTTTCCTGGAAGTCGGGCTGGTGGTGGCTTCAAGGAGTAGAGCGTCTAGCCGTTCCTCGTCTTCAAGCAGCGATTCTTGGGAGTCTGTTAATCTAAAATTTAGCGTAGCAAGATGGGCCTCAAGAGTGTTAAAGTGCTGTTAAAGCCCAAACACTTACCTCGGTGATTTCTCGTCAAAGCTGATTGCAGGGATGAGACTGTTGCGTGTCATCGAAGGTGAGCGTTTGCTGTCGTTGCTGGCAGACCGGCGGTGCTCGGGGTTTATAAAGGCTCGAGGCTGGGCCCGCCCCCTGGACGACGCTGAAAATACCAGGATTACTCGCCGTTAAATCCTCGCCGCCAGAAATAGGCGGATTCCGCCGACTAAGAGGGGCGCCTGGGGCGATAGACGTGCGTACGGGATAATCGGATAGTAATTTGGAACTATAGTCGGAATGTCTTTCCTGTTGATGGCGTCGGCTGATGTGAGATTCGGAAATGTGGATGAGGATGTGCTCTAGTTGTGTTTCCGGCGAATTCGTGGGTAAAGGGCAGCCAAACTTCCGAAATTTTTTTGCGTGGCCATCAACATTTGATAAAAATAGCGAAAGTGCGCTTTTTGAATTACAGTACCCAAGCCTAGGTTATCCTATGCATTTGTACATTGTTTTTAGCAATTTCTGAGGACAAGTCGTTACAGGTTTTAACGAAAAATCTGTTTTTTTTATCGAAAAAGTGATTTTTCGTTCCAAACAAAATTTCGACTTTTTCGAACAATTTTTAGGGTTTTTTATAAGTTTTACTACTTCAAATCCAGTTTAAACTTACTAAGAACAATGTAAAAATTTGTATGCTAGTTCCCCCGACGAATGGTAAAGTATCATTTAGGCAATCAGTTTGTTGTTGCTTGATACGATGAAGCTTTGCGGAAAAAGAACCAATTCGTCAATTTTTTTAGAAAACTACGTGATATTCGTGTATTTTCATGTGCATATGCACGTCATCGTAGCCGCTGGCGTCCAGAAGGACCGCCCTTATATTTTCAGGCATTCTCCAGCGTTGACATGACCAGCAGTAGTACAACCTACCTGCAAATACTACCCCTACACGATGATTTTAAGATTCCAGAACCAACGGTATCTGCGCAGGTAATACGGGCGAGTGCCGCTGCGACGTCAGCCGAATTCTCATCTTGTTTCCCATTTCGAAAGGCAGGGTACCGGAGTGCCGTTTAAGCCGGGATCAGCCGCCGTGCGATGTCAGCACGACTTACGGTCGAATTTTTGCCTCCGGTATACACTTCCAATCGCCGGGGTATTTTCGATATTTCGTGACTAGATGGAGATAGGGGTCAACTGGTCTTGAAACGCTAGTTTAAGGAGAGGAAGAAGTGCATAATTACGTGAAATAAAACTAAATAAAGCCCACCTCCACTCGGATGCGGGGTGCCCTTTCGCAACTTGCTGTCCTGCCGATTCCCCGCTAAATATTGAATGTGGTTTAATCTTCCCGGGCCTTTCGCATTATCGGGGGGATACCAAATTTTAATTAGTATCTAATTTTTCAAATATAAATACTAGAAGTGTTTCTAAATTGTTTTTTGCCATTCCTAAGCGTGAAAACTTCATAAATTTTTATTAAACAATGTAAAAAATACGATTTTTCCACCAAAAATGGCCGATTTCGAACTTTTCAAAACTACTTTAAAAAGGTTTTTAGATAGTTTTTCTAGTCGAAATATAGTTATTTTTTACTAAAAACACTATTAACACGCTTTCTGTCAATTTACTATACATTTCTAGACTTCTAGAAAAAAGTTGTCCCCCCCCCGATAATGCGAAAGCAATCTTACAAAGCTTACCCCCGTCAACGATTATCACGTATTCATCGGGATCGCTTTCGGATGAGACCGCTTCGGACAGACGGAAGAAGCTGAAAAGCTAAGATTCGACCCAGAAGCTCGTGCTCACCTTTGGCTTCCATTGCGTGGAGGCGCCGGCTCGTCGTCAGAGTCGGAGAGCGATCGGATTGACATCGAACTTTCGGATCCTGATGGTTTCTAAAGAGGAGATGGAAGAGATAAAAGTAGTCGTACCCCGACGCCGAGATGAGCGGAAGCTGTTGGGTGCACAGGTAGGGTGATGGATGTCTGTTCTTCATCCCGCCATGGTACGTCGATCGCTTGTGATGTTTCCTAAAAATATAAGTCCTTAATCGGTTACGGAAACTTTTAAAAATAGACTTTAAAACCTAAAAATAGCATTTTCTCAACAAAGTGTAAAAAGCACAGGGCTGTTAAACTGGTACTGGACTGTTAGAGGGCGGGGGGTTTAGCGGTGGGGGAACTAATTTTTGGTTTTCCGCCTTTTAGTAATATTTATTGTATTCTTACAGTTTTTTTTTATTGATTTTTGGTTGCTAAAAACCCCTAAAAAGTACAAATTTGACTCTTTTTGGCGGTTTATCATACATTTTTGACAATTTTTAGAAGTTTTTCTCAGCTTTTGTAGCTAAACATGCTGCCAAATGCTATAAAACTAGGGCTTACGTGATTAGTGTTAAATTGCCCCTCCCCGCTAACAGTCCTATACCGCGAAACTCACGTGGATAGTCGGGAAATCAAAGGCCGCCTTGGACGCGGCCGAGTCGGGTGTTATGGAGGGCATCGGGGTTCGTCTACCATAGTATCGTTGCACCTAAGCACCGGAGCGTAACCTTAATGCTAGGTATTAGCTTGCCTTATTCGCCAGAATCTCCTCCTTCGACATTTTTCTGGAATGCTCGCCCATTTCCGGGAGGCTCAGCTCGATCATCGGAGGTTTTTGCTTGCTAGAAAACAAAAAAAGGTGATTTTATGGGTATGATACCTCTCTACCATCGCATCTAGCTCCTTATTGTAACGGTAGTTCCAAAAGCGGTCCACCTCGGCGATGTCCACCTGAATTTCCGGGGTCAAATGCGAGCCATTGCTCACCTCAACATGCCCTGCCTTCCACGCCGCCTGGTCGACGTTCGAGTTGTAGTTGAGGCGGATGAGGGAGGAACGGTCGAGCTCGGAGGACACCATTGACACCTGAGGAGGAGGAGGCACGATCACGGGTCGCGGAGAGCTCACGTCAGATTGGAGTGTGTCCGAGCGACCCCACTGATTGCGCAGCGTTTCGTCGGCGCCGAGCTCGTTGCTGCCCTTGCGTTCCACGCTCAGTTGTCTGCAAGAATGGGTGTTATTTGGGGATTTCTGAATGATTTTTATACTGTTTTAAAGATAGAAAAATCTCAGTCTATCATAGTTAGTGGAAACTAATCCGTCCTTATCTTTTAACGGGGTTGGTAAAAAGCGTCGGGAAGCCAATATTTATTTTTGCGCTATTTTTGTGCTCTGGTACCTGTTAATAATAATTAGTGTATTTTCATAGTGTTTTCATTCATTTTTGACCGCTAAAAATTATGAAAAATATTTCAAAACTTTTGAAGATTGCAAAATTTTCCACATTTTTTGGGATTTCCTTATATTTTGACAACCAGCCAAAAATTTGCGAAAATTTTTATAATTTTTTATGAGTATTTTATGGCATAAAAGCTGTTGAAAACGTTATAAAAAAGTTGTAGGGCGATACGGAATTACTGGGGAAAAAATGACCCCCCCCCCGTTAACAGGGAATAACCGATTAATTGTGTAATTGTTTTCTTAATTACTGTAAACCGAAAACGGCTATGTTTTATTTTCTATCGATCGAACAACCTTTTCATCCTCCCCAACTGTGTCCGATCGTCATCTAAAGCGGATGCTCGCCCGGGGTCCTCCAGCGCCGTCGGGCTGTCCGTCGACACAAATATCTGCACTTTTTGGTCACCGATTTGGTCGAGTTTCGGCGGGATCATTCTGGCATTCCCTTCGATTCTCCCTTCTTTCCTTTGTACAGTTTCAGGAACATAATTGGCTGGTTCCAGCTCTTCATCTTTAGCCAACATTTCCAAGCGGCCCTTATCCGTTTCCGGCTCCCGTTTTAGGCTGTATTCTAGGGTGCCACTTCCTGGTGTTATTTCAGAATCGGGTTCCTTGTTTTGTGTCCTACCCATTCGGGAATCTTCCGGAACTGGCGTCGCATCCGAAAAGCCCATTTCCTGCGTAGGTGGATGATTTGTGGCTACAACACCGGATGTGGGAGAGTGAGGATTAGCCAAAGATCCTTCAGAATCTTCTAGATCTTCCGGGCGTTTAGGGGATAAGGGAGCTTCTGTAGAATTCGGTAATGTGAACTGTGGATCCAAGCCCTCTAACTCCTGCTCGTGCTCATGTTCCTGTTCCTGGCCGTGCTCCTGATCGTAGTCGCGCTCTCGCTCCTGGTCGTGCTCCTGCAGGAGCATCTGCTCGTGCTCCTGGCCGTACTCATTCCCTTGCACGTGCTCCTGCTCCTGCTCGCGCTCCTGGTCGCACTCACGTTCTTGCTCATGTACGTATTCCTGCTGGTGCACCTGTTCGTACTCACACTCTTGCTCGTCCTCTTGCGCATTCTCGTGCTCCGGCCCGTAGTGTATTTCCGAATGCCCAAGACTAGTGACAGTCGTCGCACCGTCAAAATCCGAGGCATCAGAATCAGCGGCGAGTCCATGGTCTTCATTTGTTTTAGGCACAACCCGGGCCACCTGGCCCTCTTCCTCCTCATCGGTCTCAAAGCTCGAGTCGTACTCCGGAGCCTGGTCAGCCGTATCTGAAGCTCCGTCAGGGGTGCTTTGATAGAAGAATGTCTCCACAGCACTATCCGGCAAGAAGTCGATGCCGGAATTCGGGACTTCTGGAGTCTCAGACTTGGGCGTTGTTGGTTGAACATGAGCTTCGGCGTTATGGGCAAGGGGATGAGCAAGATCAATTGATCCTTCAAAATCCGAGTTTGGCCTCGTTTCGTCCAACTGGTGGCCGGATCCGGAAAATATTTGCTTTGGCGATTCGGATCCGAGCTCGACCTCACGATCTTCAGAAGCCTCCTCGACCTCGCCGTGATGTGGATGGCGGCTGATCCGCTCGGCCAATTCCCACATATACTCCTCAGCCTCTTCTGATAACTTCCGGTCCAAAAACTCATTCCTCCACCGCTTTCAGGCTCCCCTGGGCCACGTCTTTGGCCACCCTTTCAAGCTCCTCACGCGCACTTGCCCGATCCAAGAATAGCTGGTGCTCCTCGCGCGTGCCAGCTACCGTATGGCCTTGGACGTCAGCAGGGGTGGGCGAAGTGTCAGCGTTTTCCAGAATTTTCGCTTCAAAATCAGCCGATTGGGATGGGTAAGCGGGGTCGGTAATCCCGGTGTCATTGTTGTGACATAGGCGCGTGATTTCTGGGAATTCTGGGCTTGGAAAACTTGTTGCGCAGCCTTGTCCGTCCACAGTTTCTTGGGGACCAGAATTTTGTTGGCCTGTAATGTGAGAATTTTCGCTTCTGGAATCGGCACTTTCACGCGGCGAATCAACCGGAAGTTCTGCATGTCCAAGGGGTGAACTTGGTGAGCTTGGTGAACTTGTCGAAACGCCTTGTTCATCTACATTTTCCTGAGGACCACCATTTTGACGGTCAAAACTGAGAGAATGTTCACTTGCGCATTCGACACCTTCACGTGGTAAATCGACCGGGAGTTCTGAATTCTCTTCCAAATTTTCTGAATTTTGACCAGTTTCCCCTTGTCCACCGCCCTGTCGTTGATCATCCCCATCTCCTCCCTCCAAAAATTCTCGCATCATAAATTCGATCGGCTTCACGCCGCTCTCAATCACAAAAGTCCCGCCGGAATTAACCGTTTCCGGTGACAAAATTCCGGATAGATCCGTTGGATTCCGGGAGTAAAGCCGGCCTTCCTGCGAGCCATGAATAGTGTAGGTTTTGCCAGACAATTCTGTTTCCCTTCTCGAATATTCCGGCGGATCGCCGATTTCGCGCGATTTCCGGAGGGGTACGCTGGTGTACTCTGGACAGGGGCCCATTTCCGGGTACTGTGATGCATCGTAGCAATCATCGTGGCTGGATGGTGGGCTGGAATTGGAGGATGAGATCGAGGGGGATGGGTCCCGATGTCGTGTGAGGCTGTGGTCGGATTCGATTCGGGGGAGCTCTCCGCGTTTCGGGATGAAATCGTCAGATAGTGTCGAGCGACGGCTTTTCGAGGAGCATTCGGTTACCACGATGTCGACCTGTAAAAATTAAATTTTTGACCTTTTCTGGTCATTTTTCATTCATCTTTATCACCTTTTTACGTCTAAAAACAGTGTAAAATTCGATAAAAACGATTTATGTTTTGCTACGGAATTACTTGGGGATTTCACCCTCTAAAAATTTTGGTTAAAAATTGATTTTTTTTTGTATTTTTTTAGAAGCCCAGATATCCCCTATATAATAATGGTAAATGTTTTACTTGCGTTTTTGTGTAATTTAAATATATTTCAAATCAAGAAACGACCCGAAATCCTAGAAAAATTTGATGTTTGGGTTCAAAACCGTCCATTTCTGGGCAAAAAAAAATCGATATTTTCTGTATTAAAAAATCAAACTTGTAAAGTTTTTTGCGTTTAAGCATAATTTAAGAACACTTACTCTATTTATATTAGAAAAATTGACATAAGGAAAAATTTTGAATCTTACATCTTCGCTGTCGGCGCTCACAAATGGTGGCCGGGCTGCAGGCTCCTCCTCCAAACTCTCGTCGGCTTGCTCAGAGGTTTCGGAGTTCTTCCTAAGACTGGATTATTCATTTAATATACATAATATACATACTCGGTTGCGCCCAGAACTCTCCTTAGCAGCTCGGCGGGTGTTGGGGCCGAGGCAGAACTTTGTCCCCCGGATACCGTATCGTGCTGCGGTGGATCGCCCGGAATCTCGATGACCTGAAAAATCATGTTAACCACGACAAGCCACAAACTACAAATACGTTCTATCGTTTTATCACTCACCCTGGCCTGTGCATCACTATCCGATGAGGCAATGCGTCGAATCAGAATTGCAAGCGGGACACTGCCGGACGATTGTTGGACGTATCCCCGTGGATCATCACCCCATTCCACGTCCGAATCGTCGAATGGATCCCTGCGGAATTGGAAGTGATTTGCAAAAATCAAACCTAAAACGAGCATCCCGGATGCCGCGAAGTCGCGCATCAAGGGCGGCTGCTCCAGCTGTTACCACCTCTTCGAGCGGCTCTTCCTCGCTTTCGCCGAGATTCTGGAAAGATATCGTAATTCGGTACTGGTTCTTTAGCGGGGGGGGGGTAATCTTTGGTGATGGCTTCCCTTATTCTTTCGTATTTGTCGATAGGTTAGATTCCATTGCTCTCTCTCTCTCGCTCACTCTCTCTCTCTCTTCTCTCTCCCGTACTCCTCACCTCCTCTTGCTGCTTGACATATTCGAGTAGATGAGCCAGGTTTGCGGCCGCATCAGAATGTCCTTGCCCCGACAGTTTCAGGCTCACAGGATCATCCTCGCGCTCCTCCTCCTCTTCCTCTTCCTCCTCCTCCTCCGACCGTTCCATAATGATCTGTTCTGCCACCGGACAGTCAAAATGGTCGGTCGTCAAACTCGTGATGATCGGCATTTTTCCGTAGTATCCTGGAATCAGGGGGAATCAGCGTAAAACAAGAGCCACGCTACCAGCGATAACAGGATGGAAATTGTCGCCATCAGAGCTGAAGAGGGATGAGAGATCATCGGCCGGGGGTTGAGGGTCAAGTTGGCGCTCAACTTGTTGCTCCACGGCTTGGCCAGGCCCTTCAACAATCTGGCGAGCCAGGCCGAGCACCTCCCACGAAAACTGATCCCGGCTGACTTCTTCGGGCGGGTGGGGGGCAAAAACGAGGCCTTGGCCCTCGTCCGAGCTTTCGGCGGCGGTTACCTGGGAAGATAAATTGATTTAATATATACATTTCATTCTTATTTATATTATATCTTATACTTTATTTAATCTATAATATTTAATAGATTTTGTAGCAAAAAAAAACAAAAAACCCAAACCTGCATGCCTTCGACGTCTGAAACCTCCTCGTTGCCCGGGCTTTCCGCTTCGAGGGTGGCTGCTAACGGCTCGCACGTCTTTTCCTAAATATTGACACTGATAAGACGTTAAGCCTAGTAATTAATTATTATGTAACGTTATATTAAGGTTATTTTCAGCTAAAATTAAGGTTCTTTTGCATTAACGGGGGGGAGTTATCAGGTGGAAACCACCATTTTCTTGTGTATCGAAATTTTCTAATATAATTCGATTTTTCCTATTCCTAGACAGAACATTTTAGCCATTTAAAAATTTTTAACTTTTTTAAGAACAAAAACGTCTAAGTTTTATCGTTTTCCCACTTTAAATATACTTAAATTTTACTAAAAATTAAAAATACTTACTTACGCTACTAGGCATTCCTGACCTTATCTTTCGTCCCCCCCCGATAATGCCAAAGCACCGAAACGAAAAGTCTGTGTATTGTTTTGGAATTTCTATCGGATGGAGCTGGATAAAAAATCTCGAAAATTTTTCACCTTAGAGAGTGGGATCTTGAAATTACCACTTTTATTAAATTTGTGGTTTTGGAGGCTTAAAAGACCGCGTCAACGCGTGAAAAGCACCTGTATCTTCGGCCGACCATGACTGGAGGTAGGGCGAGCCGGCGATGTATACAATTCAAGCTGCAAACATTGTTGGCCACTCACGCGCATCGTACCTTGAGCGGGTTTGGGCTATGTGGTCTGGCATCATCGCCCCGTTTACCCCCACCATCGCCGAGCACCATTTCCGGGGGCAATGCCCGCTTCCTGGACACCAGCGGGTAGATGAGGGCCTCGTCTTCGCTCTGAGAGGGTGGGATCAGAAATTTCTGTCTTGCTATGTCTCTTACTGTCTCGCGATGTGGCGGATGTGGGGGTTGATGTTCACCGTCAGAGTCGAGTACACCGCCCTCCGTGCTTTCCACCCAATCCGAGATCCGGGACAGTCGATCGGCGTCGAATGGGTCGCGCTGAGGATCGAGGCTAAAAAACTGGGTGCTTTGGCATTATCGGGGGGGAAGGGGGTAAAGAATCGTGTTTTTATGGTCCTAAAGACTGACCTGTTCCACGACGCTACATACTCATCCAAGTCCCTCGTGTAGCTGACGGGCCGCGACATCTCGTGCTCAACAATCGGATCCGGGCGAGGCACCTCGGCAAGCTCAAGGTTTAACCTAAAAAGTCTGATTTTGAATGTAACTGGTTGATTTTTGGATTAATTAAAGTGACATCGACGGGTCGCCTGTTTCTATTTTTTCTATTCCCCGGTGGGTTGACAAATAACAGAGCACGAGCAGCAGTGTGAGTGTTTTGTCGGTTTATTGCGTGATCTTCGCCAAAAATGGGCAGAAAAGCTCACCGTGTGATGTCCTCCATTCTCAGGGGAACAGATTCGACGGGTGGTGCATCGGGCACGTCCCTGAAATGGCGCAATTAGGGGTGGAGGGGAAAAGGCAGAAAAATGGGTGATTTTCATAATGGCCTGAAAATGGATGACGAATTCAATCGGCGCCAGAATTGACACCTGTTAATTCCGATTTTAAAGAGACTGTGTCTCGTCAAAAAGGGCGTGAAAACGTGAAGAAAAGCAATGAGCTTAAGACGTAAGAATGCTCACAGTATCACCTCGGAATGGGGCTTGAGAAAACGCTAGGCATACTTAAAAAGTGTTTTCCGTTAAATTACACGTTCAAGCACGTGCTACGTCGGCGTCTAATTACGCAGAGCAATAAAACAAATGCGTAAATAGGTGCTCGCGTACATCTGGGCCACATTTCCAAGTATCTTTAATGCCAGGTATTTTTACGCACACACCTATTTACGCAAAAGAAAGAGGGAGAGAGAGAGAGAGAGAGAGCGAGAGAGAGAGAGAGGGCGAAAGAGGAGATGTGCATAGGTGTATACGTCCAATTAAGGGATATTGCCATTTTGGTGGTGATGGCTTTCTAAACGTAGGATTAAAAACTTAGCAAAGCTACTGGGAGCGGCCACTACAAAACACAACTCTGAACACGGCTAATG